TGGCCGGGTCGGCGGCCTCGGAGTGCTCGGCGGCAGCGGCTTGCTGGAGGGCGCTGAAGTCGGCGACATTAACGCCATTAGCGGCGGCGGCGTTGGCGGCCTCGATGGCATTCTCAATGAAGGCAGTGGTGTCTGCATCAGGTCCGGCGCTGGTGCGCTTGCCACGGCCAGGACTCGTAGACTCCGACATGTCACGCTTGCGCTTCTGACCAGGAGAGGGTGACTGAGCCAGCTCAGACAGGTCTGGGTGGTCGCTGAGGACTTCGGCCATCGTACTTATGGGGTGAGGAGGCCACCAAAGTTATCGTTGGACGAAGAGGTGGTTGATGGTAATCCTAGACAAGCGTCCACAATTCAGAGTTTTAATCAGCGCCCAAGGTTGGTTGATGAGGCTGACGAGGTTGTTAGCATCGAAAAATCTGACTGCACCGGGATGGGAAGCAAGAGGAGGTGCCAATGGGGGAAAAGGTGAGACGACGCACTCTGGACGGAAGGTGAGACGAAATTCACTGCGGCTGCAGAATCCGGAAGGAAGACGACAGCCAGCCTAGTGCAAGAATGATGAGAGCACTTGCCCTTTGCGTTGACGTTCCTGCTTTAACGCTCAGGTCTTGTCAACCAAAGAGCATTGTTGAGTGAGACTATGAATGAGCTGAAGGGAGGCAGGCGTAGCAGGCATTTTGAGGGCATTCAGTCCTTCAGACCGTGCATCTCACGTAGAGGAGCAGTAGATATAGGAGCACAGGTAGTGGTTCTTCCTCTCATGATAGATTTGTATCATTCATCAGTTCTTGAGAGGATTTCTCAAGATCAATCGCTTGATTGTGGTTGGGAAAAACATCGCGATGCGCGTCGCAGAGGATGGGCTTCATTCCAGAAAATAGCGCAAGCGACAGCGACAGACGCGCCCTCAGAGAAGGGCAGGCCTGCGCGTTGCATTGGCCGTGTGATTGAGAGAAGCGATAGGGCAGAGAGGAAGATCGTCAGGAAAAATGGGACAGGTCGCATACCTCTAGATCATGTGCTTCGCAGCGTGGTCTGGGCGGTGTAGGGAGGGAGCTCCAGATCACGGGTTTTGCTGGAGTTCACGTGTTGGCGGCGTGATCAAACTCGTGATATCGCGCGGCGGCGGGTGCGGCAGCTGGGGGGCCCTTTCGCTCCGGATGGGGCCGGTTGTACCGTTGTAAGTGTCGAGGTTCAGGTCGAAAACTCTCGAGGACGAGTCGAGAAATTCACGCGAAATGCAATTCTTGAAAAGAATCTTCAGTAGTTCGAGACGAACTGCAGGCTTGCGCTACTCTTTTAATTCCTGGGCAAGAGCAGGTCGGGGTGGTTGAGTCGGGCTTGTCGATTTGGGGGGGAGCAGCAGCGCAACGACGGCGGGAAGCTCTGGTCACGCGGCAGAGGAAGAGGGTGAACACGTGCAAAGTGGGTGAGGCTGGAGATAAATACGCTTGAGAGCGAGGAAGGATGCAGGCCTGAGGCAGGATTTCGGACATGGCCAATCAGCAGGCCGAAAGCCACACCCCCAAGGCGCCCGGCTGGCCTGTGGGTGCCAGCGTACTCCTTCCGCGACTGCCCCGATCCAATCCCGTTTCTTCAGAGGGGCACACGCTGCAGCAGACTCCCCGACCGAGAGACATGCAAGTGATGCTTGTCGCGTCTTATCGACGACGCGCCTTATCGTCACCCGCGACTTGTTAGTACAACACACAGCACGGCCGAAGCTATCCGTACGGGCTACGGGCCAGCAGCAAGCTACGACAGCACCGCATAGCAGACCGGTCTGAGGAGTGTGGGTTTGTTAGCCTCTGGCTTCGGTACAGTGCACCCAACCATCGCCTGGCGCGTCAGGAAATGCCGAGCCTCGCCAATCACCTGATGCCGCCGTGGGCTGCCAGCATGAATCAAGTGACTGATGGGTTGTGAGACATTCCACTTTGAAGACGAGCACAGCGTCTGCATCGGCCAAGATAGTCTCGACCGTTGTGAGTCGTCGCCTCGTTCGTGTGTTACCTGCTTCATTCTACCACCAGTGATCACGACGGTGACTGGGGTGCTTACGAGAGACGGGAGGTGGGGCTCCAGAAAGCTTCAGGGACCTCGGCCTTATGTAAGCGGGTGCGAGCCACAGATATGGTCTGTGCACAGATAGCAGTCCGTCACTTGTGGGGTTGGAGATGAAGCATCGGAAGTGAAGCACGAGAGCAAGCTGTGAATGACGTCCTGGCAGGAGAAGTTGACGAGCGAGTTTGACGTCTTGATCAGTGAACGAAACTAACCCAGCCCATGAAACTTGCTTGAAAACTTCCCGCTCCAAGGTCAACTTCCATATATCTAAACAGCCACCCTGGCCCCGCCACATTGACATCGGCCCGGATAACGTCAACGTCGTTGGCGCCGTATCAGTGCATCTGTGCTCCCAGCTTCCACTCAATCCCATCTCCCGAATTCCCGAAGCCACAGCGCCGACGACCAACACCCCTCCGCCGAGGAGGCCTTTCACCAATAACTTTCCAACTCGCCATTGAACCCCGCGAGAGCAATCCTCTCGAAGCTCCAATATGGCAGACCACGAACATTCAATAATCAAACACCAAGACCACCTCCTCCTCGTCTGTGCCACCTCCTTGCCCTCCCGTCTCGATCTAGACTAACCCATGACACCAGGACCAACCCCTCCTCCGCCTCCCCTACGAACTCCTCCGCAAGAACTTCCGTCAAGCCCACTTCACAGTCGAGAAGGACTCGACAGCAATCAAGTCCCTACTCAAAGAGACAGCCACCGCCTCTGTCAACGGCCGCGCCTCCCCCGACGATGTCCTCAAGAACCTCGACACAATGATCGCCCGCATGCGCGGCGTAAAACGGAAACTCACCGCCCATGCCGACGAGGAGGCCCGTCTGACCCGCCAGGCCGGCGCCAGGATCTCACATCTCGGCGACCTGTATGGCATGCACTCCGTCGACGACGTCAAGTATGAAGCGTGGAGCCGCGCGCGGCTGGATCGTCTGCTGGTCGACTACCTCTTGCGGCACGGCTACAACGAGTCCGCTAAAGCCCTGACAGCGGAGCGCGGCATGGATGACCTCGTGGACGTGGAGACCTTTGTACAAATGAGTCGAATCCAGGAGGCGTTGCGAAATGGAAGCGTCGTAGAAGCTCTTGCATGGTGCCAGGATAACAAAAAGGAACTGAGAAAGATGGATGTACGTTCTCTCCCTCAGCCACCAGCCCCCTCCAATAATACTAACGAACCATGTCAGAGCAACCTCGAATTCATGCTCCGGTTCCAACAATACATCGAACTAGTCCGCACCCAGTCCCAACCAAAGCTGCTCGAGGCAATCGCCCACGCGAAGAGATACTTGGTCCCGTTCAAGGCGACCTACCCAGAAGAGCTCCGCAAAGCCTTCGGCCTCCTCGCGTACCCACCGAACGCCGCCAACGCAGTCTACTCCGACCTCTACAGCCCAGACCGCTGGAACACCCTCGCGGACCTCTTCACCCGCACCCACAACTCCCTCCTCGCCCTCCCGTCCTTCCCGCTCCTCCACATCGCCCTCTCCTCCGGCCTGTCCGCCCTCAAGACGCCGGCCTGCCACTCGGCAAACTCGTCCCACGTCGCCCCCTCAGACGCAAACACCGCCACTAACGCCTCCGCGACGGCAGGCACCCAGTCCGTGTGCCCCATCTGCTCCACCGAGCTCAACGACCTCGCGCGCAACGTCCCGTACGCGCACCACACCAAGAGCTACGTCGAGCACGACCTGCTGCTCCTCCCCAACAGCCGCGCCTACGGCAAGGAGCGTCTGGAAGACTACGCCAAGAAATCGGGCCTCCCGCCGGACCAGGTCAAGGATCTGAGGACCGGCGATATCTACTCGGTGGACAAGCTCAAGAAGGTCTTCATTACATGAGCAATCTGCGCTCCTTCGAGAGGGACGAAACGGCGTTTGTCCTCCTCGTTGTGTGTACCACATCATTATGCCTTCACCAGGTTGCAGGTCTCTTTGTTACAGCGTAAAAGGTCATTTCAAATGGGTTTGGAGTTTCAGGCGCAGCGTCCCCCTTTTTTTTCTTGGAAATTTCTTAGAAGCCAGGCAGGTTTCAATCGAAGAAGTACAGTTGTACCAGAGTGTGTCTAGACCAATCCAATCAAAAAACAACCGTTAAATCAAAAGTGTGGTCACCATCATACGTCTTTCGCAGACGGACCGAATCAGGATACATCATCAGCAGCAGCACTGTGAACAACTAAACACGCGTTTTAATTGCAGTCATTCCCCCAACCCCACCGTTTGATCCAGGTATTCACAATACAGTACATGATTAAGAGAAGTTTCATACGCTCGTCCTCTCTTATCTCGCTCTCTCTCAATCCCGCTGTGTCTTCTTCCTTCTTTAGTTGGTGACAGCCCGATTTCCTTCCTTGACCCTTCCAGCACCGCAAGCTGGGTTCACTTTCCAGGCTGGTAATGCATATATAGCTTTCCATCCATCAACGTCCTCGATGGCGTTTGTTATTTGTGTGTCAGTGTGTTTGTGTGTTTCCCCCCTTTCCTTGAAATGAAAGAAAACCATGAACACCGCCCCACTCCTTGGTCCAACCCAGGTTTCCAACAGCCGTGCTCGTTTTCCCTTTTTTTTCTGACGTGATTCATGAAACCAGGACCTTCCCGAATCCCAACTCCATATCGAGTCCGCGCACACAAAGACGTTTGACCGAAAAAGACGAAACGAGCCCAGAAGGATGTTGCTCACCCCTCTGGAACCCGCCTCAAACTAGATGTACTCCCGAGGCTGAGCTTGTTCGACATAAGGAGTGGATAACAGCCCGTGGACCTTCAAGATAGAAGAAATATTATGCAAAACCAAACCCAGCGAGGTTGTGCCCCTGAGAACAAGTCACCATGGCCAGTCTCAGGGTACAACACGCGCCAGAACCCTAAAGTATCCCAGTGTGGTAATAGTAATGGGCGTCCGGAGGCTTAACTCCCTAACTTCTGCCTGCAAAGGCAAAGTTACCGAACACGCCGCCGCCCCCACCCGGTGTCATCGGGCCCATCGATAGGCCGTTGGTGTTGTGGGATTGCGCGGCGGGTGTGCTCACAAGGCCGACGCTAGCAGTGTTGGGCGTGCTTGGCCCGCCGTTCTGCTGGCCGTTGGGTCCCTGGTGCGACTGGTCCTGGTTGCCGGCGTTGTTACCAAACGGCAGCCGTTCGAGCACCAAGAGGTCCGGAATGCCGAGACCCCACACCTTGCCGACGTGCTCTTCGGGGATCTCTCCGTTAAAGATTTTGTCGCGCATCTGGAAGAAGACCTTGCCCGTGAGCAGAGAGTCGGAACCGGCCTGATGCGCGTTGCCCACACGCTTGATCTTGAGGGAATCGGCAATGTTCTCGAGACCAGACTTGTGCTCGAATTTTTGGAGGATGTCGGCGCTGCTGGGGTCGCTAGGGGTGAGAAGTCCCGAGTTGTGCAGTCGTATGGCATGCTTCATAAGGTGCTTGACATCATAAGCTGACGGGAAGTACTTCTTCATGACTCCATCGAAGTCCGCTTCGTCGTTGGGAAGGTCGTTGCAGGTGAGGAGCTTGGTGAGGTACCCGAAATCGTAGCCACCATGGAAGGAGATCCACTTTACGTTGTCGAAGCAGACGAGACCGGACGGGATGAGGAGGGAGGCGAATTCGTGAGGGTCGATACCGTCTCTCTCGAGGAGAGCAAAGTCGATGCCCGCGCTCGATAATGATTCGATCGATTTCTCGTTGTACATGTCGTCCTTGACGGAGAATTTGAAGTTGAACTGCCAGGCATAGGGGAAGGGACCTTGCGACGCGGCCCTTTTGCCCGCGGCACCTAGTTCAAGGTCTTGAGTCGAATTTGGTCGCGCAGGAGGCGTTTCGCCGTCTTCGTTAAACAGTGTCAGCCCGATCTGGATGACTTTGAGCATATCAACGTTGGTGCGCAGGCACTGGTAGTGGTAATCGCTCTTCCCCCTGAAAGAGCCCATCGGCCGTGACACCACGCCTGGAAATTCGGTATCCTACGATTGACAGTCGTCAGTTTTGGTCTTCCCGAGTCTCGGGGGCTGAGTCTCAGCTAACCATGGCAATATACGGGTACTTGTCGACGAGCTCCCTCAATACGGCCATCTCCTCGACAAGGTTATGCTTCCAGACCTCACGTATCCTTCCCTTGTTCTGGGTCGTTCGCGCCGGCGCACCGCCATGGTCGAGCCCAAAGTTGTGCTGCGGCTGGCCGTGCGGTTGCTGCTGCAAGTTCGCGGCGTGGAAGCTCATGCGCGCAGCGTGGCTGCTGAGGCTGTTGTCGGCGCCGAGGGGGAAGCCGCCGTTTAGACCTGGAGTGCCGCCGAGAACATTTCCGTTCGTAGAAAAGGGGCTGATCTGGGCGTTGGCGTTGAGGTAGGAGGGATTGCCGCCGAGGGGAGGCCCATGGTTCGCGGCATGGCCTTGGGCGGCGTGGGAGGGGAACTGCTGGTGGTAAGGCGATATGGTGTTGGGCCCGCCAGGGAACCTAGGGATCGGTGGCGGCATGCCAGAATATGCCTCCCGAGAAGGGGCTTCAAGTTATATATGAAGTGTTGCGAGTCTACCGCGATGTCGAACAATGTTTCGTCGGTCTCTGAGGGGTTGTGGACGATCCACGGCCCTGCATTTGCGTCTGGGGTTGAGGAGGTACGGGGGCTGGCAGCAGAAGAGCGCCTTTGTTCTCCGCCGCCGGTCGTCGGAACTTGGTCTCGGTGGGTGAGGTGCGTCGTCCAAAAGGTTCGATTCTGCGCGTGCTTCGGTATCGTTGCGACGATTGATGTTTGTTTCGTTCGTTCTGAGTCGTGCTATGCGATGGGCGCTGGGTAAAGATACGTCTGGCTGAGCTCGGTTTTAGGGACAGAATGTGTATCTACGAGCCCAAAGGCTTGCTGAGTTGACCATGGACGGAGGGGTGGTCTGTGCGGGGCCCCGAGCCAGACAGGTACGTACCCGCGGGACTTTCCGACGACAACATCTCAAAGATCTCCAATCAGCTTCCTTCCAACTCGACTGACCACAACCCCGAATCGTCCATTGTTGTACGGCGAGACGACATTCACACAGCAATCATGCAGCCATCGAGGTATGCCCCTTCCAAAGAGCTCAATTGACTTGGTGCATTCGAGACCAGACGACTAACGGACTCCCTCCGACCATAGGATACTCAGGGCCGCCCACGGCCCGAAGCCCAATGTCACCGGCTTCGACATGAGAGCCTTCAAGGAGGCCGCCGGACAGCCCAGATACGATCCTTGGGAGAGAGCGTTAGTGCAAACCACTGGCATGCGGGTGCTTGCGATCTTTGGACAACCGCTGACGGTCGAGATACAGAGAGTCGTGGAGATACAAGGGCCCCTTCACGAGGTTCAACCGATTCAAGGGATCCTTCCCCGGCCTGGGCATTGCGACCGTCGCTTTCGCCGGCTACTGCGCGTACGAGTACTTCTTCCTGGCCGACGACCACCACCACGGCGACAGCCACGGCAACGACCACCACTAGAAGGGCGGCTTGGAGGGGAAGCGAGACGGAGGGGAGTTGCTCCGCTGTACATTTACCTCTCGAGTCGGCAGACCGGCTCGCTGGAAGGGTGTAGACGAAGACGAATTGTATTCCCGCGATCAAGAACACTGCCGAATATGACTCCGAAGGTGCCGTGATGTTGAGACTGAAGAGGCAATGGTGTGGTTGGACGGTGTGCTTTGCGATCGAAGCATTCAAAGCTCTGGTCTAAGATCATGCCCAAATTCCCCCTCTCAAAACAGAAGGCGTTCTGTATACATTCGTCGCCAAACCACGGCGGCACCTTTCCGGGCTCGCTGGTTTATTGGAGGCTATGCGAGGCAGTCAGCCCTTGAACATTCATGCTCAAACCATAGAAGCTACCTATCAATCTTGTGGTTTTGTATTAGCTGCGATGAGAATCGAACAGTCAGTGCGTACCAGTATGACATGTTTGCTTGCTTCAAACCTGTACGGCTCTCATCCTCACAGGATGTGTTTGCTTAGAACTACTTAGACTACCAAGCGGGTATCTACTTGAGCGCGAGCGCTAGCAGGGTTATCGTAAAGTCCCCAAAGCTTTGAAAAGCGAGCATTGAGGGCACATTAGACACACTCACAAAGACTGCTATCATCATTATCGTAAATGCATCTAGCAATAGACCGATCTCCAGGTGCGTCAGCCTGTGAAGTGTGCCGCCCCCGCCAGAACCAGTGTGCCGCCCCCGCCCACCGAACCATATGGTTATTCGTCCTGTAAGACGGTTCCTGCATGGGCGAACACACTCCGCCGCATCTACAGGTTGGAATTAAGTTTTCATTCATCAAGGTGCCTCAGCCATCTCACTAAGCTCGTATTACCACGCAGCAAATGCTCCCTCCTCAACAACCGACCTACTCCGAACTGCCAGTGGAATAATGTACTTAAACGGACAGCATGTCCCGTCGAGAAACGTTTGTCGTCCCTTTCGCACAACGTCGTTGCACAGACACTTGTTTCAACACATCATCCCATCCCATCACAGCTTCTGCTCAGTCCAAGCTTCTGACAAGTCGAGGTCTGTAACGTCTTGTGACGTTGTCCAAGAGCTGTCAGATGTAGGTTTTTTTTCCCCTTTGATTGCAAAAATACTTTCCTTCGCCTCGCTAACATCATGCAACACGCAGCCGTGTAAGTACTCAACAAGTGCTTGATTCTCTACACCTAGCTCATACGTTAGAGAGGTATATGCCGTATATCGCCAAACGTCAATAATGCCAGCTCATTGGTATCACGTTGTCCGTGTTATCCCGTAACCGTTTCCGTAACCCTAAACGCCAATGAAAATCCAACAGATAATGGGCCGTTATAGAAGTATATGTAAATCCGCCTCTTTCTCTTAGTCAAGTCTAAGACCGTTCACGACGTCCAACGCAGTATCCACACACGTTTCGAGCTCAGCAACACGGTGCTTCAGGCCGCGGTTCTCATCCCTCAGTAGGCTGACGGTGTCCCACGCAGCCCGCTCGTCCTGGCCGCGACAGTTCGTACATGACGTCGCGCCGGCTTGTTGGTTTGCGTCGCCCGTCACACCTCGCATCAACTTCTGGAACACGCTCGTCTGCTGCGGAGTCTTTGGGGCAACCGGCCGCGACGCTTTCGGGGGGCCCAGGGTATTGCCGGTATTGCTCCTGGCGAGCGCGGGAGGCGTATCGTTACCCTCAAAGACGCTCGGCGCGGCGGTGGTCGGGCTTCGTGATCTCGAGAAGACGCTGGCGTCCTCAACGCTTTCCTCATCGGTGTCGAACCCGGCACTCTTTCTCCACTTTCTCCTCGCCTGATCTTCCTCCACACCCAGGTCTTCGGATATTGATGATCCCTCGGAAATAGGCCGGCCCCGTTGGCTCATCAAACGCTCCTCTTGCCTTGCCTTTTTCTCCGCCGCTAGTTCCGCCATGAGTTGTTGCATGGACTGCTCCTGCTCGGCGACCTTGGAGGCCATGTTCTCAAGTTGAACCTTTAGGTGCTGAATTCGTGTGCCGGCTTCCTCGTTCTCGTCCTCCTGAGCGTCCTTCTCTTCCCGCATCTCTTGTATTGTGGCATGCTGCCGTTGGACGGCGTTTTGGTATTTCGTCAATAGGCCGATTGCCGTAGTCTCGAGGTTCTTGAACGCTGCAGGGGAGAAGGCGTCCCGATGTGTCGATGAAGACGGAGGGAAGAGGGCTTCTTGGATGTTGAGGCTTAACAGCTCCTCGTCTTGCTTCGGGTCGGGGGCAGCCTGGTTACTCTTCCCGAACGGAGAGCTGAAGAAGGCGAATCTTGAGGTATTTGGCGAAGTTCCTTTTGACGTTTGGCCAGCTGTCGCCCTCCTCTGCAACCTCGAGGGCGTTCCGTCTGCGTCGACATCGTTCATTTTGTTCGTCTGGGTTGTCGGACTGGTTCCTTCCGCGCTGTTGGGAGATCCGGAGCCGCCCAACCAACCGCTCAGTATCCCTCCTCGAGCGGCGTCTGGTGATTTTCCACTTCTGTTGTCTCCGGTAAGAGGCATCGTGACCGACGAGGGACGGCCGCTCCCTCGCTCTGTAGATGGTGAGAGCGTCACCTGCGGAATAGAGTAGTTTGTGCGTGTGGAGGGGAAGTTTGGAACAGATTGCTGCCTCTGGTGTCCAGTCTGGAGTCTTGGAAAGCTTCGGTTGGCGGCAGACGGACTAATGCGACACGGTTCGGGTTGGGTAGGCGGGTTGGTGTTTATGGCAGCACCGGGGGTAGCGCTCGGGGAAGTTGGATCGACGGCTGGATCTCTGCTCGCGGGCCTATGTGCATGGCGTAGAGTTTGAGAGCCGTCCATTCCAAAGTCCGTCGTTGGGCGCGGAGCGGTAGACGGGTAGTCTGAGGTGGAGGCGGCGTGACGACTTAGCATGATGCGTTAATGTTTCGTGTGGGACGGGCAATATCTCTTGCCTCCCAGCTTCAGTAGGGAGGTACAAGCTCTGCTCGCTGGGATAGGCTTGGGCCGGGGTTTGCGGGCTTGTTGGTACTGGGAATGTGAATGGATCAACACTGGCAAGGCCCAAACAGTGAACAGTGACCGAAGAGGAGGGACCCTTTTTTGAGCTAGGAGCACCCCGAGTCGCAAGCGGCCTGGGTCAGGAAAATGAGTGCGGATAGGGCGTTGGGGAGGGAAGAGAGGAGGACAGACTCAGAGTCTCAGTCGCTGGTAGGGGAAAAACGCTGGTCGGTCGATTTGGACAAAGGGGAGCGAGAGACTTTGGGCGAGAGGCCAGGTTCCCCTGCAAGCGAGGAGAGCGAGCGGCCGGGTTGCGACTAGGGAGCGATGTTGACAGGCGACGGTGTACTGCGTGGTAGGCTGCTTGGCTTGCACAACTCGCATGAACCTCTCGGAATGAAATGGTTGAAGACGGACGGACCCGGTCCTTGCAGGTGTGCGCAGGCTGCCGGATCGAGGAACAAAAAAAGAAGTGTCGAGAGGCGTCGGCGGCGTTTTCTTCGCGGAGGGGGGGGGTTTGTTGGACGTCGAGCTGTCAAAGTCGCAGGTGAGTACGCAACTGCGCTTGTGGCTGAGAGCTAGCAGCGCGGGTAGATCTCTCTGAAGGCGTCCGTCTTGTGTCGTGTTGATATTGATGCGGTGTTGTATTGTGTCTCCTATCGCGGGAGGAGAAAAAGCGGGGGCCAGAAGTTGTGCCGCTTTGCAATCCAGTCGGTCAAAGGAAGGCGAACGGCCGAGTCAGGAACTGCAGGCACGATTGGTAGAGAGGCCGTCTCCGTACGGTAGGCTCCGGAGGTAGGCCGTGGAGTGAGTGCGCAGCCAAATGACTGCGAAAGGGTATCGAGCAAAGAGAAAGCCGTCGGTTTCGCTGCAGCACTGCACTGCAGGACCACAGAGAATGTCGAAGAGGAGGAAATGTTCAACGAGGGATCCTTGCGTTGGCACGTTGGGTCTTGAGGAATTGTGTTTGCTCCCACGAGGTCGGGCTCAGACTTGCAGGCCGTTATGACGGAGAGTAAAACCTTGGAATCAGCCAGCGACGCCCACGGAACGTGATGGAGGCGGCAAGCACAGGTCCCTGGGAAAAGCCAAAAGAAAACCAGAACCAGAAGCCGACGCGGACGCGGCAAGCGACGTCAACAAAGTCAGAGCCGACATTTAGAGGAGGTTGGGGGAGACATGTCCAACTTTCCCTCGTCTTTCGGGCTGTGAGACCCCGTCAACCCATACAGAGCCCAGCATCCAGTATCCGCTGGCTCCAGTGGCCGGTGGCCGGTGGCCAGAACATGGAAGCCATCATCAGTTGACCAGCTCCCCCTCCAACTCCTCCACTCACAGCAACCTCTGGCCGCCCTGCCATGCATCGGCTCGTCAGCCCGTCCCTCGGCAAGCAATCAGCCACCAGAGTCCGGTCTCTTTCTCTCAGCGCTCTTTTCGCAGTCCGGCAGCTGCGCTGCGTTCTGGGCTCTTGAGGACCCCCGTTTGTGCCGGTCGCCGGTCGGCCCTCCAGTAGGTACGTAGAAGCGCACAAGAGGTACGTCTGCCTGGGCTCTCTACGGGGTACATGGTGCACGTACCGCCATCCCTGGGCGCTGGGGCTCCTGGACCCTGGAAGTCGCATTGCAGGCCGATGCACTTTGGCACTCTGCAGCGGCCAGACGGGAGGAATTCACTGTTGGAATGAATTGTGCTCAATGCTGTCCCGTGCGTGCGGATGTCAACTCGGCACAATCACAATTGTCTTCGCATTCCTCAATCCCTTAGCTCTAGGTATTTCATCCATAAAGTTGGTATGCAACTTGGGACGGGGCAAGTCATGATCTAATGTCCAACGTTGTTTTCACAATACCACTTCACCTCTCAGCTGGGTGGCCACCCTCACTCAACCCAACTCACCACCAATTCTCTAGCTGAACGTTGATATCCCCAAGTGCGGTCATAGAACCCGTCCGTTTGAATCTTACCTTGATCCTGAGCGATTTCGCACCATCAAGGATCTACAAAGCAGGAAGGCAAAACATCGAAACGCCAATGATCCTCAGTTGCTCAGCTCGTCAACCGGCCACGCTCAGGCACGCAACAACCCGTTCAGTCGATATTCACGTGCAGATGTTCAAACTAGCGAGATCAAGAAAAAAAGTTCCGACCCCCTAGTCCAAACAAAGAAACAAGATCGAAGAAACATTTTGCTTCCTTTTCCGCCCCCTTCCCCCCTCGTCGTATCCTCCGTCTCGCACGGCCGATCAAACAAAACAGACACCACATCGCAATCTCCACCATTCCTTCTAGCGAAGAAACAAAACTGTGGGATACGCGCCCCCATCCCGTGAGGCTTAAACAGACCTTCTTCCATGGCGAATTCCATTCCACCAGGCAGCTGGCGTTGAAGAATATCTTGAAATAGACCCCGACCCAACACCACAACATTCCATCACCCATCGCCCATCATCGACACAGAACCCTCCCTCTCGGTCCTCGCACGTTCCCCAGCCATGCTCGCCGCGGTAGCGTTTCCCTTCATGCCGGACCAAGCTCTGATTTTCTGGAATCCTTCGGTGGCCGGTGCTTTGCCGCCTTTCGGGACCGACACAGAAGGTGACAAAATTAACTTGTTCGGGCCAAAAAGGCAAAGGCCACTCTAAGCCCAGGGTTGCAGATCGTGACACCCGTCAAGAATGGGAATGTGGTCTTTCCCTTCCCACCCTCGGCACTTGTGAATGCGGTTGAAGTGCGGGGTTGAATAGCCATCTGTTATTTTACCTTTGGTCAACTTGTTCGTAATGTTTCCGACAGCACTTTATCGGAATTGACTCTGATCGCGGTTTTACTCACTGCGCCAAGAACTCGTAGACGGCCGGGCCTTCATGGCGCTGCATTATCCCGACAAACGCCCCCATTCATCATCCGGACCGGCCGGTGGTCCTCCGGGGTTCCGGGGCCGGCTTCATCGGCCGGATATCGCGATGGCCATGACTACGCTTGCAGGGACCTGGCATTAGTGATATTCTTGCCATGGCAATGCCAATCCGGATGTCGCCAACGAAGTCATTTGCCGGGTGTGACGTACGTCGCGGCCTCCAGAGGCGCAGTCGCGGCGGCTGATCGACGTTGCGGCTGATATGCCAGGAACAGGGTATCTTGGCAGAGGACGTCATCATGATTTCTTCAACAGAAATCCTTCAACCCTAACCGACAATGCTACCCTGCCCTGATCGCATTTATCGTCTGCACTTCGTAGCTCGCATTACATGGCGAAGCTGGGCCCAGGAGCTCATGTGGCGAACTGCGCGTAATGCCGATGAAATGCCTACTAACATTATTGAGGATGCTGTCTTATTTTAGAAGATAACTTAATGCTTAAGAAATAGGCTATAACAAAGTTGGTCCGTCTCACTAACTTCACCAGGCTGTATGTTGAAAGCAACGTAACCACCGTCGCAACCAACGTCACCACCTCAACCTCTGGCCTTCCTAAGCATGCTCCAGCGTCTGAACGGCGACAGCTGCTTCACAGCCTCCCTTCGAAGCTCAACATCCCTCGGCGGTGGTAGTCTCCTCTCATCGACCTCGTAATAGCTCTCCTCGATGGCTTCAAACCCATACTTCTCATACAGCGGCTTCCCGCCCTCGCTAGCCTCGATGTAGACGTCCAACCCCATGCAATCAGCCCGTCCAACACCCCAATCCATGACGAGAGACGCCGCGCCTCGGCGTCGGTACTCCGGGATCGTGAACAAAATGTTCAGAACTGGTGTAATCCCGACGTCAGTCTGCGAAGCGAATCCCACGTGAAACCTGAATTCGCTTTCCGCGACAAACTAACACGCATGCGGCCGGTTCGCATTCCTCACAGCCCTCTCCAGAAAATCGTTCAACAGCAAACTCGCAACCCACCGCGGCTCTCCCTCCGGGAACCACGTCGCCTCGACCTCCCGATGCCCGTCGTACGGGTTCGGGCCGCCCCTCTCGAAGAAACTCCACCGGCCGCCGGCGACAATCTGCCCCGTCTCGTCGTCGATGACTTTGAGCCATGTGCTCGTCGGGTCGGCGCGGTGCTCGGCTCGCATCCTCTCCGTGGCCTCCACGAGAGCAGCCTCGCGCGCCGCGGGGTCGTCGGGCCTCCAGTCGCCCATGAAGAGTCGCCAGACGGCCGTGTCCGGGTTTGCGAACCCTTCGCGCAGGGCGGCGATGAGCGGGACAAACTCCTCGTCGGTCTTGACCTCCTGTAGTACGAGACGCATGATGTTGACTCTGCGGCGGCTTTCGAGGGGAAGACCGAATTCGAGTCGGGTGTCTGGGCCTTCTTTCATTTTATACCATGCCAGAATCAATGACATTAATATAGTTCACGCGATGTTTCACACAAACGGGCCCTGTTCGCAGAATGGACATACAATACGAATGTCTCGGATTTGGGAAAAGCACAGTCACATCAACGACTTCGAAGAAACAGGTAGGGTCCTAACTGCCCGTGGGCTAGGTGTATTCCATGCCAGGCGCAAGAATTCTCTCTCGCGTCCTCAGCATTAAGACTGAACCCTAAAACTGGCTCGCAAGGAATCGAGCCTCTCAAAACCGTTGCTCAACCCATTAATGGTATCCCAAACTAACCAAAGACCTGAATGAACCCAGAACAGCCGCACACCGATTTTTCCTCCACTCTTCCCCGATCGCCGTTCTCTATGTTTAGTAAAACGACTCGACCATGGTGTCCTTGAGGTTGGTGTTGACGTTGCTGGGACCCAGACCCTCGCCGAGCCTGAACACGCTCTCGATGACGCTCAGCTCCGTCGCCGTGGTGTCGAGCCCGGTGACAGCCATCCAGTCGTTGACGACCATGCCGGCACCGACAACGTTGCTGCCGCGGTTGACACTGCCGGCGACCAGAGGCACCTGCAGAAGACTGGAAAGCTCGTCCTGGTCCTGTATCGAGGTCTTGGGGTGGACGAGACCACCCTGGTTGGAGAGTGACATGTAGGATCCGACCAGCACGTTGTCGGCAATGGTCTGGCGGAAGACCTCGACGCCGAGAACGTCGGCAATGATCTCCTCCGTCTCGCGCTCCAGGTCAGGGTGAATCAGAGCGATGTGGTCGTTGCAGACAATGACGTTGCCGAGAGCGGAAAGACGCTCCTCTATTCTCTGTATGCGAATTTCGTCGGGCAAGCTATTGCGAAGATGTTGGAGTTCTTGGTCTGTTGTGCTCGTGGGAACAAGGAGGCCCTTGCGGTTACTGGATGGTGGTGGTCAGCTTGAATTGTTTGATGCTCACGCGACCTCCAACATGGCCACCGAAAAAGGCACCATCAGAGATTTTAGAGGTGTTGATGTGCTTACCCAGCTGTTAACCGGCCAATGATTCTTGTACCGGCAATGGTTGTCCGGCAGATGGGGATGACATCTTGCAGCTCGGCCTCGAAGACACTGTAGAAGTTCTCGCTCGCACCGAGGGCGGTCAGAGCATAGGAGTTGGTGAGAGTCGCAAAGACGCCGACCCTAGGAGTCTCAAAGTCAGCATACCGAGTTGTCGGTGGCCGGATCGCTGCAGAAAGCAGGATGGCGGGGTCGGGTTCGGCGGGGCTTTTGCTCACTCGTTGGAGTTCTCGAACTGCGCGCGCACAGCCATGATTGTGTTTGTCCCGGTAAGCTCGGTGCTGACTGTTGGAATGGTGAAGAGGGGATGCCGGTAGGGCTTCGTAAGAGTAGTTTGGTCGCAAAAAAGGGCCCTAAAGGGTATGTTGTCGTGGTAAGTGTCCTGGTGGTTTGGTGATGATGGAATTTTTGCAGAGGCGGAAAGGTCCCATTAATAAAAAGCGTCAATCGCAGAGGTCAAGGTGGGGCAGGCACGGCTGGCTGCCCGCTTTCTGCAACTTTTTGGGTGCTGTTGCCGCTTTGGCTAGGCTTTTGCGCTGAGAGCGGGGCACACCGGGCTGTGGACCCCTAGATTCACTGCGAGCCAGTGGGAGAGAAGGGACGGAATGTATGGCTGATGAGTCACTTTGCCTACAACGAGCACGAAACCGTGCTAATTCGATGGTTTCTATTACCAACTGCCTTGTCCGCGTCTTAATTTTTGGCTGACGCATCGCCACTCTGACTCTTCATTACTGCAGCTCATAGCTAGACCCATTGAGGTTCCTGGTGAATCATTCTGGCGCCCAGCCCGTGCTGCGGCCAACCCCGGACACTACCAATCTGCTTCACCGTTTGAATCACTCTAATGGCCCATCATCATCATGGCTTGGGCTTTCTCCCCAGGAGCAGGAATTGCGGTCCCTAGCCCCTGCATGCTATGCATGCTAAACCAGACTTATCTGGATTCTCTAACGACGCTTCACCTTACTTCTCTCATGCTTCGCCACAAATTCCTCCAAATCGACGTGTATCCGCAATCCCTTGGAGGTCATCGTGTTGAAGACAGACCTGAGCTCGAACTCATCCATGACGTTGATGAGCGTTGTGTATGCCTCGAGGGCCAGATCCTTCGACCATGGACAATGTCGCAGCCCGCGGAAGAAGACCTCCTTAGCTTTGTGCCGGAACTGTTTCCTTGCATAGCTGAACTTGATGTAGCATCGCCAGAATTCTGGGTTTGACCTGCATGCTGGGGTATCTAGAGCTCGCTCAAACGCCGCCTGGGTAGAGTGTACGTTTCCCTTCAGCAGCTCGTAGCGAATCGCAAACATGCGGCTCCCAATGCAATCGTTGGCATCGGTAAGTGTGACCTTCCGAAGAATGTCCCGGACAGGATCATCGATGCCGAAAGTCGTCGAGGCCCATGCGAAGAGAGTAAGGAAAATGGTGTTGCGTGGGAACAAGTCGATGCAATGAGCGAGCTGATCTCTCAAGTACGCTCGCCGGAATGGCCTGATGTATGTTAGTCTGGAAACTCTTGGTTCAGACTTGGTGAACTTACCCTCGACTGGCGTGATGGTATAAAAGTCTTGCAGCAGCCTGCAAGAGCCTTTCGTGGGCTTGAGACTTCGCTTGGCCCTGTGCACACAGTTCAGAAGAGACGGCCCATAGTCTTTCCATCGCCATGGATATGCTTCCTTGGGCCTCAGACGTGGGTTCGCTACCCTCTTGCGATGTGAGATATACCAGCAATGCAAGGCATTCTGCACTCAAGATAGCTTCATCTGGCTGCCTGAGAGAGAGTTGGTGCTCGAGGTCGTCCAGCAAAGTCTGGCGAGCCTTCAAGAGTTGCGATGGAGACGGAGCTGCCAATCCCGGGACATTCCTCAAGGACTGGTCAACTGAGGCACAGAGACGCAGTATGGCCTGATTCTTGTTCCCTTCGTCAAGTTCCATCCATGCCCACGTCTTGAAAAGCAACAACCCGCCGGCGGAGCTGGCAGGCTGAGATATGCGCGTTAGGGATATGGAAAATTATTGTGGAGCGCAGTGAGCACTTACTGAGACCAGACTAGTAGCTGATGAGACAACCTGACGGCCAACTTCCAAGTTACTAGCCCCAACCTCGGCCAGCGCATAAGCGTTGTAGAAGGCCAGGTTTGACGGGTCTTTCTTGATGAGAGCTTTAGCGCGCTTTTTGACATTGCCGGGTTCGTTGGCGACATCCACGGCCAATGAATACTCTGCCAAATCCTTCAAGCCGACCGATATTACGAGTTGTCGAAGACAATTCGCAACCCAAGATAAGTCTACGGGTCCATCGAGAGACTTGGCAGTGCAAGGCCAGCCACTGAGAAAGGAGAACCAATTCCGTCTAGCAAAGAGTAGATCGGAAGACACAGCAAGGCGCAGCCCGTCTTGCTCGAAAGCCGGTATACTCTTGGTCTCGTCCATAACATCAGGTTCGTTCGGCTTGCGAAGGACGTCGGCCTCGAAAACCCTTAGACTGCCAACAACAAAGGAGTCATTCTCTGCGCTTTGAATCCATGGGCTTGAGCAAAACACCGGGGGCAGACAGCAGAATATGAGAAGGCCATCCACCAATTGCTCCCAAACATGGGAAACTATTGTGGATGGGATAACAAAGAGAAGCTCCTGGATATCCGAATACATGACAACTCGGTATGGATCGTCCTCGAGAACATCATCCGTGGCTCGGCCTGGACTCCTGGAGCTTGTTGCCCGGAGACGTTCTGTCGCACCCCAAGACTTGTATACATCTCTGGATTGCACCACCGTGTCGTCGTCTCGTTGCTGTTCTGGAGAATCCACCGAACCATTGGTCTGGACGTAGTGGCTCCAGCCGGATGCGTTGTGCTCTCCTAGCCTTGGTGCTTCATCTTCCCAGAAGTCTCTAAAAGAACTCAGTATTTCAGATTCTGGCAGGGCATCATGCGTGGAAGGTCGTTGCAAGTTGAGTTCGAGAAGCGCTTGCCACGCTGCGACTGCCGATTCACGATAGCCAGCGTCGTATATGAACCTGGTGACTCGCAAAAAGATGTATATCATCTGCTCGTAACGGGAAGCCTCCATATCGGTATTGGCGCTATACGCTGGCCCTGGGGAAGCCGAAACGGATGACTGTTTGGCGACGGCTCGCAGGCGTTCAATATACAGCTTCTTGATTTCGCTGTACTCAAAGGTCTTCAGGTCCGTGACTTTGTGGTCGATCCTGGCCTTCCAAAGACAGAAACTCACTTCGTGCTTCTTCGCCACGTCCGACCAACGGCTGTCAAGCTTTGATGAGGACCAGACCTTGGCACCCTCAAGCATCAGACCAAGGAGCAGCCGTTCTTCGTCTTCCGGTCTTTTGGCTTGGGCAAGTGCAGACTCGTACATTGATATCTTGATCTCTGCAAAACTGTGCATCTCGCCCTTTGTTACTTCGCGGTCTAGACTTTCGCCAGCTTTGAGAAGAACGTCCTGATGGGCGATGAGCTCGAGCCATCCTGCAATGTCATCAGGATGTTCCTTGACCCGACGAGACAGGTGAATTGAACGTTGCTTGAGTGGGTCGTCTGCTTCCGGATTCAAGTCGCCCTCCTGGTCGGTGTCAAAGTCGATGTCGCTATCAGAGAACTCATGGGCCTTGGCCTTGCCCTCGATTGATCTGTAAGAGGGTTTGTCGTCTCCGTCGGACTCTGGCTCTTCAGTGCGGCGTCGTTTGGACGACTTGCTGAGTGGTACGAAGTCCTCTTCGACTTCCTCTTGACTTTCGTCTCGTGGGCGAATGCGTCTTGTTTTCACCCTATGAACCCTCGCCTGGAATAGAGCTCTGTCTCGCAAAGTAGAGCTGCCCTCGCCCGGCATCCGAATGCTGAATTCTTCCCTGGGGCCATCTCTGTGGATAATGAGGTAGCCATCAGAACCGAGGACTTTCCCACGCCCGTCACGACGATATGTGGGCACCTTGCCGCGGTCGTTGCCGCCATATCTCCTAATGAGGGGGTCACCTTTTGTGTCTATGACGAAGACGCCGTTTCCAGCCCTTTCTTCCAGAGTCGTGGCAACGCTGGGTCTTTTAGCAACAACAAGGGACCGTTCCTGACTGCGGCTGCGACTGCGTTTGCGATCACGGTGGCGGTGTTCCGATCGATGCTCTGATCGGTGATCTGACCTATGCCTCCGGTGGTCGTCTCGGTGCCTGGACTCATGCCGGGATTTCTTCTCCTTAGCTACCTCACCTGCACCATCCTTCCGGCTATGTGTGACTTCACCAGACGAGGATTTGGCCAACGGCACAGGATCGGGTGCCTTGGGCTTGAAGGTTGAGAACTTCGGCACCGTCAACTTCTTATCCCCGTTGTCTGACATGTCGCCAGTCTGCGGCTCACCGGGTCATAATTAGGGTGCGCACAGTCAGATGAGCGGAACCGTAACGGCCGCTTGAACTGGCTGACAGGCCTGCAGAATGATTCCGCGCGAAGAGTGAGTGCCGCTTGTGGCGCAAAGACTATTGCCGCGATGAGATGACGTTGGCTGAGGGCGTCGACGCGTCGAGGGTTCTGGCGACTCGGAACGGTGACCGAAACGGAGGATTGACGACGACGGGCGAATCAAAGCTCGAATTGGTGCTGGTGATGTCCCTCAAGGTGCACACGGGATGCTTAGGTAAGGGCGCCTCAAGACGGTGGTAGTAGTGGTGGTGGTGGTGGTACGGAGACGTTCCGTTCTAGAGTTGCACCGTTGCACCCAAGAAGGTTTCCAGGCACGTGTCTGCAACGGGTTACAGTGGCGCCCTCCACGCCTCACTTCCCTCAGTTCCCAGATAATTAATTGGGGCGTTCAGCTAGCGACATCTGGGGTTGGAGAACAAGACATGGCCGGGCCCAGGATGCTGGTTTTTGTCTGGGTCTGGATCTCAGGGCTGCTGTGTTTGTATCCAATTATTTGGAAACGAGGCCAAAACACGCTGATCGGTAGGTTGGTTCAAGAATACCCGTCGCGATGCTACCGCAATTGAGGGATGTCGAGTAACGCCTGTCAATAAGTGGCTTGGTGAGCTAGACATAAAGTGGTGTGCTGTAGTGCACCGGCGGCCTTGATGTTGGACTTTGAGTTGGAATTAGCTGCATTCGAAGGGGATTACCGTCCTGCAGCCACCCTTTACTCGTGACGGGTGCTGCGCAGGGAACTGGGCGCGGGATTGGCCTGTGATTGGCTGCTGATGGCGTGCGGCGTGGTGGAATTCTGCGGGACAGGTCGGCTTTCCACTGCTTCCTTCAGTGCGAGGTAGGGATTCAGTAATCTCAGGGTCCTCGATCTGACCGTTTCGGCGGAAAATGCGCTAAACTCGGGGCCAATAACCGCCATCCAGTGGCATCCAGAGACATCCACCAAAGGGTCACCCGGTGCAATGACCTCACGGCCAAGCCTTTCTACACCCTTTAGTGCTTCCTTTTCCACCGCCATTGCAACAAATAATTTACAGCACTGTCTGCCAGGGTGGATCACGCCCTCTCTACTTACCGCGCGTGCCCGGTGCACAGCCCGTTGCCCGCCGTCTCGGTGGCACTAGGGGGAGGGAGGGCCTGAGGAAAGTGGACGGGGTAAAGACCGTCTCAAACCAAGTTGTCGCGTTTTGTTTCGCTTCCAACTTCTTCTGAAGAGCCGATCGTTCGTTGCGGCGACGGGCCCTGAGGTTTTTGATCTTTTCCATTCTTCTCTTCCTCCCCCCCTTCATTTGCCTGTCCACCATCTCGATCCCTTTTCCGCCTGGCCGAACTCGAGGTGCCATCTGATGGATAAGTAAACCTGCCAAGGAACTGCCATGTCTCGCCCGCGATAGTCATCCGCCTACCTTGCTTCGTCGCATCTGACTCCGAACCCCTCGACGTGGTCAGCCTCCCGTCGCCTCCCCAGCCAACTCATATCCTGCCGTGTCTGCTTCTTACCGTCTTTGGAGTAACCTCGAACGATTCCACGCTGGGTTCACGTGCAGAGCTCTAACCTGCCACCAACCTTGTCTATTCGGTTGATCGCCCGACTTGTCAACGACGCCCAAGTCCAGACCTCCGCCTCCAACTACCCCTGACCGTCCTCCAATAAGTGTCTAGTTCGCCGACCTTACCTCGACGACCTCGACCGTGTCCTGTGCTTTCGAGTTTATCCCATCTCGAGGCGACGAGCCTTGTGTGCTTTCTGCTTCTGCTTCTGCGCCCGATCTTTGGACGATTAGTGAGGGCGAACCCAATCACGCATCACTCGAAACAGACCCGAGAACTTTAACGGCTCGAGCCGCCTTGCATCTCTACAACAACTTCCACCATGGCCGACTTACCAGACGACGGCGCGCTGTCTGTGCCTCCGTCACCGACGAACACGAGAAGACCGAGATTCGACCGGACAGGCTCGCTCGGCGAGCCGGACGAGCGCTCACCATTACTCTTGAACTCGAGATCTCGGATTCGGCGACACCAAGCTTCTACCCCCGAGAGTCCCAAACACCTGACTCCGGGCCTGTCGAGGAATCACAGCACGGCCGGTAAGTGTCTCGCTCGCTTCACATGCTTTGCGTGTACCAAGAAAACATGACAGCTGATCCATGTCCTTGCTATCCAGGAAGCATCCGAAGTTTGCACCACAGTCGCAACCCGTCATTCGGCGCTCGCTTATCGCACGCCTTCTCCGACTTCCCAGAATCTATGTCCGAGTCGAAACGATCAATTCTGCCCGACGAACGAGTATGGTACGATCAGTTTACGTCCACCGATTGGGTTCACGATAACATCGTCGATGCCCACCGAGCCAAGGCCCTCAAAATGCGCAAGGACTTCTGGGGAAGGATATATGCCATCTTCGATGCTTCGCAGGGCTGGATTCTTAGCGCCGTGTGTGGTGTAGCCGTTGCTCTCGTTGCATACGTAGTCAACTTGTCCGAGGCTACCGTATTCGATTACAAATATGGTTATTGCACACGGGGCTGGTACATCAGCGAGAGGGTACGTTCCTTCACCTCGGAGATAAGTCCGAAGATGCTAATTGCCATTAGAATTGTTGCCCAAAAGGACCTTGCGACGATTGGGAGACTTGGTCGGAGTCTTTGAGATTCTGGCCTTTTGGAGATGTGGGAACCGAATTCACGATCTACCTCATTGGCGTCGTTGGCTTGGCCTGCGTTGCTTGCGCCATGACATTGACGACCAAAACCGTGGTGCCCTCGGCGTATCGTATGACGACCTTCGACGAGAACCTCGCTGCGGAACTTGCCCCGTACGCCGATGAACCTACAAGCGACGAGAGCCCGACGCCTCCAGAGCCTGTTGAGCCGGTGACGACGACATCAGAACCCGCGGAAAACGTGCCGCCACCGATGATTTACTACTCAGCTGCTGGTAGTGGTGTCGCTGAAGTTCGCGTCATCCTCAGCGGTTTCGTGTTGCACGGTTTTCTCGGTCTGAAGACGTTGGGTATCAAGTCAGCTGCTCTCATTCTCAGTGTTGCTTCTGGTCTCAGTCTTGGAAAAGAGGGTCCTTACGTTCATATTGCAACTTGTGTCGGCAACATTGCCTGTCGCTTGTTCGCGAAGTACGATCAAAATGACGCCAAAAGGCGCGAGGTCCTATCCGCAGCTGCAGCCGCCGGTGTCGCCGTCGCTTTCGGCGCTCCGCTGGGAGGTGTTCTTTTCGGACTCGAGGAGGTGTCGTACTTCTTCCCTGCAAAGACGCTTTTCCGCACATTCTTCTGCTGTATTGTCGCAGCCTTGTCGCTCAAGTTTCTCAACCCCTACGGCACCCACAAGATCGTCATGTTCCAGGTCAAATATACAACCGACTGGCATTACTTTGAAATCGTGTTCTTCATCGTCATCGGGATCCTTGGCGGCGCTGCTGGAGCTCTGTTCATCAAGGCCTCGAAGCACTGGGCCAAGACCTTCCGTCGGATCGACGTCATCAAGAAATACCCCATGTTCGAGGTTGCCTTGGTCGCCGTAGTGACCGGAATCATGAGTTACTGGAACGTTCACACCAAGCAGCCAGTCGCTAAGCTCATGCTCAACCTTGCGGCGCCATGCCACGACGGATCTGATCGCGAAGATTACGGACTATGCCCAACGACGGCTGAAGGCATCCCTCCTGTGCTTTCAGGTCTTTTCTCCGCCTTTTTGATCAAGGGGTTCTTGACGATCATCACATTTGGAATTGTGCGTAATACACCTGGCTATGGTCGGGAAGATACTAATTTCTTTGCAGAAAGTTCCAGCCGGAATCTACGTGCCGTCCATGGTCGTTGGCGGTCTCATGGGAAGAATCGTCGGTCACGTCGTTCAGTATATCGTGCTGATGTACCCCACCTTTGGGCTCTGGACTCGATGTGCCGCATCACCAACAGGATCATGCATTCAGCCCGGTGTCTATGGGCTAATCGCTGCCGGATCCACCATGTGCGGTGTCACTCGGTTGTCGGTAACACTGGCAGTCATTCTCTTTGAGCTGACGGGAAGCTTGGATTATGTCTTGCCGTTCTCCTTGGCTATCCTCGTGGCCAAATGGACTGCTGACGCCATTGAGCCAAACAGCATCTACGTGAGTACAGTCTGGCGTTTCTGCAAACTGAGTGTTCAATCTAATATGAGTAGGACCTCCTGACGAACATGAACTCCTACCCCTTCCTCGACAATAAGCACAAGCCAATTTTCACTTCCGACCTGGCAGACATCGTCCCTCGTGTCCGCCGGGAACGAATCATTGACGTCAGCGCTTCTCCAGTGATATCCGCCGTCAGTCTGCGTAAGAAGCTTCAAACTCTGCACAGGGCAGGTGAGCTTGACGGAGGTCTTCCTATCATTCGGGATGGTATTCTTGTTGGGCTCATCCCAGCACCCGACCTCGAGTTCGCCCTGGACAGTCTTGACGACGAGGCTTCAAGCATGTGTTTGATGGCCCATATTCCCACCATCGAAGACTCCGACGATGAAGAGACGGAGAGAGATAAGACAGATTTCACTCCGTACATTGACCCAGTGAGTAATTTGACCTCCTACATCTGGCTATGGCTAACGAGAAAACAGGCTCCCGTAGCATTGGATATCAGATCCCCAATGGACCTTGTATATGAATGTTTCGTCAAGCTTGGTCTCCGCTTCATTTGCGTGCTCAAGAACGGCCGCTACGCCGGCATGGTAAGTTGTGAAAGCTTTTGTTCAGCACGATAATATCTAACTGACTGTGTTAGGTTCACAAGAAGAGCTTCGTAAAGTACATGCGAGAGCTCGAAGAAAAGGAGCACTAGTTCGGCGCTCTCATGATGCGTTTCTTTCTCGTTACAGACCAATACCACATACCGACTGAGATTGTTCGGTGAACATTTGACGCATCAGGAAGACTGCGTAGCATCAAGCATGCTTTTGGAAGACAGCCCATTCATCATCTACGGCATAGCGTTTAATTCTTTTCATTTCTTCAGACGTTTCCATCATTTGTTCCTGGGTGTAATCCAGAAGTGGCAGAATTTCTCACGCCAGATTGCATAGCATTTTTTGTATTGTCCGACAACCAGGTCATAAGGGAGAGGCTAGATTATAGTTTTTCGTCTCGCATGGTGTCCTGACCGAAGCAGACTGGTCATGCGCAATAAAAGAGTTACCAACATGAGCATGAGATGTCGTTGCAGTGATGGCTAAAGGAAGAGAATGCTGACCCGGCGACCAAAGGTGTCGGCCTCCGGCGGCATGCGGCGTTCCGGGTGGGCCCTCCGGCGGCGGCAGTGCGGCGCGAATTTCACCCAATCTAGAAAGCAAGCCGCAATGTTCGAATCTATGTCACCGAGTTGGCTTCCTAAGTGCCGATGGCGAATCTATTATTCACTGTTATTCAATGACCGGCAAAGCCATTCCCGGCCCGGTTTCCGGTCCCGGCATCGGCGCTCTCGATCCGCAGGGGCGACCAGTGGATATCTCAGGTCGCGGCGTCGCGCTAGTCCCCAGGTGCTCCCTGGCTAAGTGGATAGATTCCCACCAGATGCTTATCATGGTCGGCGGGAAACGCTGTTATCGCCTGATACGCGCGGCGGGGGCGCGCGGAGAGACACCGAGAGCGCGCACGTCGGATCTGTGATAGATGCGGTAATATTATAGGCACGTTGTGGTTGATGTTGCGGTGTGGCTTCTGGCGCTGCAATCCTGGAGGCTGCGAACTACAATATGCAAATCAGAAGCAGGCTGGCGGCTCAAGGCGGCAGAGACGGGAGCGGCACAGCTAGTTGGTGGCGAGGGGGAAGCCAACTGGAGCCGCGACCGGTCGATGCCATCCGAGATGCCGAACCTGCCATTGAACAATAGCTTGAGCTCAGCGAGTCCATTAGAACAGATGAAGCTATTACATATTACGACGTTTACGCTACGCCCGAGCTTCCTGCAGCAGGATGGAAGCTGGCTGCATATTGTGTCAGAGGCAGGTACCCTGATACACGGCCGCCCGCTACAGCCAGCCGGCGTAAAGGGCGTGATTTTACCCCTCCAAGGTCCCCCCGCCGCGGCGTCTTGGGAGCGTGTGTGAGGTCACTGAGACCTTCGTTCCCCCAGCTTTCGCCCCGCAATTTCTCATTGGGCACGTAATCTTGGCTTTGGCCAACCGCCCCTCCAACTGGCCGCCTGTCCGCCCCCCTCTCATTCCCTGCCATATCGCCGAGCTAACGCAGCTGCTGCAGCTTTCGCTCCTTGTTCCGGCATGGTGGGAAACCAAGCACCGCGCCGGTGTGTGCGTCTGAACGCCTCGAGTCAACACCAGGACCCAGGGGACCAAAGCTCAAACCAGGCCGATGGCAATACACCACCACCTCTCTCCACCAAACGGCCTGACGAGACAACGCCGGGGGACCTGATAAGCCGTGGCCACCCGCCATCTATAAACGGGCCCTCCCCCGCGCACCAGCTTTGTGTCTCATTATGTCACTCTCTTTCTCCTTTGCATCTTCACCATTGGCCAATTGACTGCAACTGGGAGGATAGATACGTCTCCGATATCGCACAGCTTCACCCCCACGAGCATCACAGGAAGAAGGCAGCGTCGTAAAGAGGAACGAGTAGGTCAAACACCACATTAGGAAGAAAGCAGACGAAAGAAGACCATCGCCATGGCCTTCATGAGAGCCTCCGCGGCCCTGCGCCCCGTCATGCGCACGGCGGCCAGGACACCCCTCTCCCGTCGCACCCTCTGCGCCTCCGCCCCGCGCATGGCTGCCTCCCTCTTCGCCGGCGAGCCCTCCGCCCCGGCCGTCAAGACCGAGATCCCGGGCCCTCAGTCCAAGAAGCAAATCGCGGACCTGCACGAGGTCTTTGACACCCGCAGCTTGAACATGCTCACGGATTACAAGAAGAGCAAGGGCAACTACATTGTCGATGCCGACGGCAACGTCCTGCTGGATGTGTGAGTGCTTTCCCACGTCTCACCCTCTAGTCAACGATCCTAACATGCGCACCACAGCTACGCCCAAATCGCCTCCATCCCCCTTGGCTACAACAACCCCGCCCTCGCCAAGGTAGCTGAGACCCCCGAAATGATAAACGCAATCATCAACCGTCCCGCCCTCGGCAACTTCCCTCCGGAGGACTGGGCCGAGGTCCTCCGCACCGGCATCCTCAAGGTCGCCCCCAAGGGCCTCGACCAGGTCTTCACTGCCATGGCTGGCTCCGACGCGAACGAGACCGCCTACAAGGCCGCCTTCATGTGGCGCCGCCAGCAGGAGCGCGGTGGCTACGACGTCGACTTCACTCCCGAGGAGACCGCCTCCGCCATGAACAACCAGGCCCCGGGCGCCTCGCAGCTTTCCATCCTCTCCTTCAAGATGGGCTTCCACGGCCGCCTCTTCGGCTCCCTCTCCACGACTCGCTCCAAGCCCATCCACAAGCTCGACATCCCCGCCTTCGACTGGCCCCAGGCCACCTTCCCCCAGCTCAAGTACCCGCTCGAGGAGCACGCCGAGGAGAACGCCGCCGCCGAGCAGGCCGCCCTCGACGAGGTCGAGCACCTCATCAAGACCTACCACGTGCCCCCCGCCGCCGTGATCGTCGAGCCTATCCAGTCCGAGGGCGGCGACAACCACGCCTCCCCGGCCTTCTTCCGCGGCCTGCGCGAGGTCACCAAGAAGCACAACGTCCTCCTCATCGTCGACGAGGTCCAGACCGGCGTCGGCGCCACCGGCAAGTTCTGGGCTCACGAGCACTGGGACCTCCCCACCCCTCCGGACATGGTCACCTTTTCCAAGAAGGCCCAGACCGCCGGCTACTACTTTGGCAACCCCGAGCTGCGCCCCAACAAGCCCTACCGCCAGTTCAACACCTGGATGGGTGACCCGGCCCGCGCCATCCTCTTCCGCGAGATCGTCAACGAGGTCGAGCGCCTCGGCCTCGTCGAGCACACGGCCCGCGTCGGCGACTACCTCTTCGGCAAGCTCGAGGCCCTCGGCAAGAAGTACCCGGGTCAGTTCGCCAACCTGCGCGGCAAGGGACAGGGCACCTTCATCGCCTTCGACAACCCGCGCCGCGACGAGTTCCTCAAGAAGGCGAAGGGTCTGGGCATCAACATTGGTGGTTCCGGAGAGAGCGCCGTCCGCCTGAGGCCGATGCTCATCTTCCAGGAGCATCACGCTGATATCCTCATCGAGGCCTTGGAGAAGATTGTCAAGTCTTGGTAATGACAGAGAGCGGTCACATTGGGATAATTTTTCTTTTTGATGCATCTCATATAGGAGCTTATTGGCCCGGTCGGTCTTGGCCGGTTATTTTGATTTTTATCTAGCGTTTTTATGAATGGTCTCCAAAAAAGATTGAGGGACGTAGACAGACAGTTGGTTTGAGGCAATACCAATCATGATATTTTATGGCTCTATGAACTATGCTCTCAGTTGTCAATGTACCTTGCCACCGCCTATCGTACACGTTGATGTTTGTCCCAAGTCCCCCAAACCAGATAAACCTCCTCTAGCCTCCGTATCCTGAAGTAAAAGCAGTTGGCCAACAACGCCTTCCGTATATCATACATGTGCCTCCTCACATGAGCGGCCTTGCGCCCATTGAAGGTGGTGTGGTGTTTGCTGCCGCAGCTAGCTGTGCGGGCTGGGTAGGTAAGGTCAACCTCGTTTTCCGCCGTGCTTCAGACGAGTACTTGGGTAGAATGTACCGCCACCGCCTCTTTGGCCTGTTGGTATGTCCATTGGTGATGGGCGGAACCTCAAGTTTCTATCTCGCCAGTCCTTCCTGTGTCAAATGCCCAATATGTGGTATGGCTCGTTCTTTCTCCGATTCTGGAAGTTGCTCGCGCTCTGGGTATGGATCTTGGCGCATCTCGTCAGACCGGCCGCGGGGAGTCTCGCTTGGCGTGGACCGACCTGACAGTGTCCTAGGTTGGTCGACTCTATAGGTATAAGTGCCCTGCCAATGTCAGAACCTACCAGCCAAGTGGCAGCTGCCTACTCACCGGTAACTCTGGTACGCCCTTCTCCGTTGACCTAGGTCGCCCGCGTTTCTTCCTTGGTGGCTCGCCAGTTGTCTCCGAGGCAGGGCCTGGTGATAAACTGTAGGCTGAGCTCTCTGCCGGGGTGCTGGGACTTTCCCCAGCTGAATTGCGAGGTGCAGGTGCTGGAGCCAGGGGCGTAAAATGTTGAGGAAGCATCGCTCTAAGTTGCCTCGCCTTATCTGCCCGCGACGGCCTTCCTCTCTTACGAGGCGGAGGCGGCGCTGCGGGCGGCTGGTTTGGGCTCGGATAACCGTTGGACGCCGTGCCACTCTCCGGGCCAGCGTTCATCTGTCTCGGCTGTATATTTGGCAGTGGAGTTTGCTGCAGTTGTGTGGGCGCTGGTAAGAGAGATCGTACAGACATCGGATTCGCGTAAGCAGACGGTCCTTGTGAAGCAGAAGCCAGTGGCGGCAGCTGTGCAGGAGGTTCCATCGGAGAAGCTACTGCCAGACGTTTGGATGGCTTGTCGAGGAGATCACCGACAGGTTTGCGCTTCAGATCTGGTATTCTCATGGGCCCTTGGAACATCTGTTCGGTGACTTGTATGCACTGCTCCATCGTACGGCCTGGACAAGTCTGTCAGTATACACAGACCGGGGTTCACGACTGTTGAGGCACTCATACCAGGAGGCAGCTGCATTTTGAGCCAGTTCGGCTCGGTTTTGTGTAATTTCAGAAAGTCAACCAGATGGCCCAGGTCTAAGTTGCTGGTCTTGATGACTTCTGCGAGGATTAACCTCTGGGGAACTGCGCGTCAGCATACGTATGATAAAGGCGAACAACACGCTAACCTTTTCTTCTTCTGAAAAAGGGTAGGCCATCGTGAAGAGGCTAGCTACTGCCGGGGCAAGTGTCACGAAAGCAAAAGATGGTGAGGAACACGGATCTTGGGACCGGCATTGGCGGCGTGGGGTTGTAGCAAACGAATGTCTCGGCGCTGGCAAGGATGGATCTGTCCGTGAGGAGTTGCAAAGAGCCAAGGTGATCGTTCAAATGAAGGTGGGATGCTTGTGGAAGCTAGAGCGAGTGTAACGGACGGAGCCGGCGTCGTCAACTGAAGTTGCGCACAGCGAACAGGCAGATGCCAGGCAGACAAGCGCGGCCGAGGCGGCAAGAGGTCGTAGCAAAGGTCAAAAACAGCCGCCGTGGTGGGTGTCGCCTCGCTTTGCCGTGGGTAGAAGGCAGGTAAGTGCACCTACAGACGACAACTGGAAAGAACGAACGTGCAGCTGGAGATAATGAAAGTCGTGAGATCTGCGCAAGCGCGCGTCTTTGACCAGAGGCCGCCGAAGAAAAGACCCCGTCCCACGACAACGTCGAGGGGAAGTTGGACGAGGCGCGAGATGGAGGGGGTAACACAGCCTGGACAGGCCTGGTCGGTAGAAGTGGAGGCTCGAATGTTTCGTTTGTTCCTGGAAAACCTGGGCCACTTTGCGACTATGAGCGCGGGAGGCCCTGCACGGCGCGCGGTCGGGGACTTGCTGGCGTGACCGGGGTTCAGTGGCAGGTCTGAGGCGTTTGTTTTTGGAAGTGGAAGACCTTGGGGGGAAGTTGGAACAAGCGAGACAAGTTTGCCGAGTGGTTAATTACGCGTTAGGCCTGTTCAGGAGACATTCCAGGACGTCGGTTCAGTCGAGGCCTGATACGGTATGTTGCGACGGCTGTTCGCAGCAAGGATGCGAATCCCGTCGTTGGATCGAGTCTTGTTCGAGAGGAGTCGAGCAGAGGACGAGGCGGATGCTGTTTGTCTTAAGATCCGAAGCGACGGAGGAAGAGGCGAATTGGACCGTTGCAATTATCAGCAGGCCTCCCATGCCCTTAGTTCTCGTCGTGCTGAGTGAGATTCATGGAAGTAAGGGGAGTTCGGAGCTGGCGCAAATGGATAAACAGGTCACAACTCCAAAGGCACCCTACACTCTCCCCTTGTTGGAGTAGTGCAAAGTTGCAACGTCCGAGCGAGGGTGGCTGGGAAATGCCCGCACCTCTTTCGACGAAGACGATGACTGCACGAGAAGAGGTAGAGACAGTGCGGCGCACCAGAGCCTTGGGTGTCCTACAGTGAGGACGAGACGAACGAAAAAAGCGGTTGCAGGTTTGGCGTGACCGACTGACGTCGAGGGTGTGATTGCCGAAAATCAAGCGGGAATCTGAGGTGGCTAGGGAAGGCTTCCGGTAGGGGCGCGGAGAATCGCCGGTCGTCGTCTGCGTCTGCGACTATCTGTTTTTTTTTCGATGGATGGATGCACTGCGGCACTGCCAAACTGGGCGCAAGTTTAATGTAATGTGCTCTGTCGGGATGTTGGTGGGTGGGTGGTGGTGGGTTAGAGGATGGAAGGGAGGGAGGGATGATGGATGTTGGCACAAGCTGCCGTGGCGGCCAAGGCTAGATCAGGTCAACGACGAGCGATAGTTTGTGTGGTGTGTGTGTGTGAGGGCGTGGTGTGGGTGAGGATGGGAGTCATAGTCATCCTCTCTCTCTCTCTGTCGTCCGTCCATGGATTGATATCAGCAGCATCCTCCAAGTCAGGTCCCGCCGTGATGCTGCCACTCCGCTCCCCGCCTCTGGCTTCCGGCGGCTGCTTCTTTTCTCGCTATGCCTCAGATCGTCGTCGGCCGCCTTAAGCTTCTGGTCTGACCCGGCAGTGGCTTTGTCTTAGGCGCCCCTCGCGCCCGGCCTCTCTTTCCGTCGTCGGATTCTTGCTTTTTTCGCGGCAGCCGAATCGCCCTTTCCAAATTTTGTCGCGCATGTCTCACCAAGGCGCCCAAAGAGGAAGCAGCTGTCTGGTTGGCCGACAGCCACACCGCGGGGCCTTTTTCTTCGTTCGCATTCGAGGTCGAGAATGGGGCTCAGATCAGAAGAAGCTCCAATGTCTGTGGTTGCTCCCACTTGCACCTCCTCAGCACCACAGTCACGCACCCTTTGAGAGGCATCACAAATGACTGCATAAGGTAGCTTCTCTCTGCCTATGCCTATGCAATCGACAGAGCGGGTATCCCTGTCTCCCGCCCGTCCTGCACACGCCGCTGGCTGCAGCAGAGTCCCATATGCTGAGCTGTTAGTGGCCGGTGTTGGGCTGAGAAGAGCTACATGCAGCAGACTCTGTAAGGCAAGGCAATGGAGAGAGTGCCGCCTGCAGCTGCAAATGCAGTGCTTGATACTGCCAGAGGGGGAGGGTTGCGCCAACTAGCCAATCCTATCGGGGAACACCTCCCGCCTGACTTGACTCTCTGCCACTTGCAGGACGTCATTGTCGTGGTGTCTGCCGAAAACATGACTTTTGTTTTCCTTCTCTGTCTCCAGCAAGCTTGGATATAGCACGTCAGCTTAAGAAACCCAAAGACTGATTCAGCACTAGCTGGCGAAGACGAAAAGTGACGGAGAAAGTGAGTGAAGTCCATTCCCTTCCTTCTGCTTGCTGGTCGGTGCGCTGGCAGCATGGAACTCGTATCGGCCGCCCTGGAGCGTGGCCTTCCCCCCACCATGCAACTCAAGTCAGCAACTGCCCCTCCCCCTTCCAACTCACTTTCTCCCCTCTCCGCTGTGGTGGCTGCTTCAGCGCGTTCCCATCTCCTCCCTCCCACCTCCGTTAGAGTTCACTGTCATCCCATCATTCCGCTTGGAATGCGCGCCTTTTTCTTCTCGCCCATCGCGGTCTCCTTGTCGACGGTGGAACAGAAAATGAAGAAACGTGATCGACAGACGACCGAATAAGGAAACAGGGGCCTTTTTAGTGCCCGCGCAATGCCATCGTCCGGAATGCCATTCAGCACCTTCATTGGCCGTCGCGCAGCCAAATCCAGCTCGCTGGTGACTGTCGGGGGAAACCACTGGATTCCCTCTTCTCCAATCACCGACCAACAACGGCACAAGAGCCAGCACAGGGCACGGGTTCGTCACATTTCCCGCAGTTGACAGAGGGAGCCGCAGCCAGACACTGTGAGGCCGCGCTGCACCTGAGTGGGCTGAATCCCCATGATTTCTGGGGGGCGGCCCAAAACGTGACCGGGCGGAAAGGAAGCGATCGAAACAATGAGGCTGAGAAGAATTAGGAAACCAGGCACACGCAACTCAAAACTGATGACTGTCGCGACGAACGACATCGAGTGCAAAGGGTCGGGAAATGGTCTTGCTGCCCCAATTGCCGCGTTCGTCCACCGCCTCTTTATACTCTTGGACTTCCTCAGGCTGCTGGTCTTCTTCATCCGGCTTCAGCGACGTCTTTGCTGCACAATGAGTTGGCATCCTCCCACTGGGAGACCCACCCATGTACAACCCGTCCATGCCAATGGCGGAGCCATCTCCAGACGACACCAAACGGCACCGACCGCCCGTCACTAGCAGGGCATCGTTGCCCAACTCGGGTACGCCTACATGCCTGCTTCTCTCCATCTGACGGTACAGCACCTTGCCCAACACCGCTTTCGCCGGGAATTTGTCTTCTGCACCTCTGAGCTGTGCGTCATGCTGCTTCAAACTCCCCTTACCCTCCAGACCAGTGGATGACTCGGGCTGGGCCATCGTGCAGGTGCGCGCCAAAGTAGCTCGATGCTTCGTTGCCGCCGTCGACGTTGCACTTGAATCTCTGCGCATCGGATGAACATGCGTCGTGGCATTCCTGGAGTGGAGCGATGGCCATCGGCAGTGGGCAACAGTTGCAGTCCTAGCCAGATATGCCAATATCCTGCCACTCGTTTCAACAGGAACCGTGGCCCAAGCCTTGTTCCCAGACAATCAAATGTGTGGGAATTATCCAAGGCTTCGAATTCGTTTCGTGCGACAAAGCTCGAACTTCTCACTTGCTCCGGAACTAGGACTGCGGGATTGGCATTCGGCTCAGAGCTATATTTCCTCTTGTCCCTTGATACCTTTTCTGGCCGAAACAACTCAGGTAGGCGCAGTGAATACATCACGGGGAGGATAGGAAAATTCCAATGGCAAATCTGGAGAGGCTTGGAAAAGGCCATGTCCAGGGGTGTTCTCTTGGAAGAGCATGCAGGGCAGGTGGATGCGAAGTGTCGGTGAGAGAACCTGGAAACCATCTTCTTGCTCCAGATAAGCCCTGGTCCATGCTTAACTGTGACCATGTTTGACGAGGCAAGTAATTCGGGAATTCGCATCTGAGTGAATTCCGCAACAAAGGCGGACGGGGTGCCAAATATCTCAATCAGCCTCATGGCGCTGTTCACGCCTCACATAGAAGGTATTCAGGCTCCGCCATTGTTACACAACATTGCTGACCAGTTCGAATTAGATGACCAGCAATAGCAAATGCAAAACTTGAGGCCCCAACAACAGAACACGGTGATCCGCCCCTGCGTGCAGCCTCTTGTAATTCCATTTCTTTGATCAAATGCGCTTACATTGCGTCGAATAGCATTGGGCAGAATGCGTGCTCTTTCTGTGGAGGCATCAGTGACGTGGGATCTCCAACTCGGACTTTTAAACTTCAATAAGTTCAGGTGGGGTTATTACGCACGCGACAATTGGATGGATCTCGCGACAGTCATTCTGGGGAAGCTACGATCGGATTTTGAAAGAAGTCTAGGCCTCGGAACCCGGCCGCATCAATGTTCCGCGCCTGTCGTGTTCCCGGTCCACATTGTAGGTGTCGCGCCGCGGTCGGGTGTGCTCCACCGAGATGAAGTCGCTGTTGGTAGTAAGCTCGGCGCAGATTCGCTCAAGGAACGGAAGTGGCTAGGTTTGGCCCAAGCGCGGCAGGCTGAGTGGCTGCCGTCCAGGCTCAGTTGGAAGCCACTGTGAGATTATTCTCGCCTGTCGTCCCTTCCAAATCCTTTGCGACTTCGCCCTGGAAACATTGCTTCTCTCTCGGTTGCCGACAGCCCAGTGTTAGGTTTCTCTGGGTGGGTGATTTGTCGATTTTTAAAAATTTGCCATTGCCCAATCGCTGCCGGGTTTGCTGTCAATCCTCGTGCGACGACCAGCTTTTTTGCGATGCGGGAAACCTTTGGCTCGGACTGCTAACCGCTCTCTCTCCTAACGCGCCGCCGCCGCCTCGCAAGTCGTCCCCCATCTCCTCTTCCCATACCTTTCCAATCCTCTCCTGCTCCACCCCAACAAAACTGCTGCAGCTCTCACAAGCGTACCGGCCTACCGATTCGCCAATTCTTTCGCCTGTCGCGTCCGCGTCCTTTGACCCTTTGTCCCAATCCATTCTTCAGGACGACCCGATTCGCGACAATCTCCCGCCTCCCTCCTGTGCGCCCGCCCTGCCGAGGGCTTTCTCGATTGCTTGATGGAGGATGAAGCGCTGGCGACGATGAAGATGGAGGAAGTAAAAATCGAAGACGGTCTTGCGCCGAATGGGGTCAAGATGGAGCGAGAAACGAGCCGGGCATCATCGCACAACAAGAGCAACCACGGCTCCCGCGCCGTCAGCATGTCGCCTGGGGGCGAGAATACCAACGACGAGGGGGCCTCCACTCCTGGTACGAATAGCCGGCTGAAGCTTTCCCGCAAAGCCTCTCAGAAGCCCGTCAAGCGCGAAACCGTCCTGTTCAGCGATCTGCCCGATGTTCGAGAGGAAGCATGCAATACCTTTCAAGTCATTCCGGACTGTCTATATGGATCGAAGCACATGGGCTCAACAGATCACGATGCCTTGGACTGTGATTGCCGTTCCGAGTGGCGTAAGTCCCCCATGCCTCCCTTTCTGCCCGACGCGAGGCAATCGCGAGCGGCCCCTGACTAAAATTTGCGTTGCAGAGGACGGGAAAAACTACTCATGTGGCGAGGACTCCGACTGCATCAACAGAGCGACGAGAATGGAGTGCGTTGTGGGCACTGGAAATTGCGGCGACGGGTGCCAGAATCAGAGATTTCAGCGCAAGCAGTACGCCAATGTTTCAGTCATCAAGACAGACAAGAAAGGATTCGGTCTCCGCGCCAATGTCGACATGCAAGCTAACGACTTCATTTTCGAGTACATTGGCGAAGTCATCAACGAGCCAACATTTAGGCGGCGCATGTCGCAGTACGACGATGAGGGCATCAAGCATTTTTACTTCATGTCGCTTACCAAGCACGAATTCGTCGACGCCACGAAGAAGGGAAACCTGGGTCGTTTCTGCAACCACTCCTGCAATCCAAACTGCTACGTCGACAAATGGGTCGTCGGAGAAAAGCTACGCATGGGTATTTTCACCTCGCGCAAAATCAAGGCTGGCGAGGAGCTGGTATTCAACTACAACGTAGACCGCTACGGGGCCAACCCCCAACCCTGCTACTGTGGCGAGGTCAACTGCACTGGATTTATTGGTGGCAAGACTCAGACCGAGCGATCCACCAAGCTGCCCCTCGCAACTGTTGAAGCTCTCGGCATTGACGATGGAGACAGCTGGGACACTGCGGTCGCCAAGAAGCCCAGGAAGAAGAAGGTCGAAGAGGATGATGAGGAGTACGTTAACAGCGTACAGGCCAGAAGCCTCAATGAGGATGGCGCACGCAAGGTGATGGCGACCCTGATGCAGACGAAGGAGAAATGGATTGCAGTCAAACTGCTGCAGCGCATCCAGCAGTGCAGTGATGAGCGGGTCATCCACTGTGTCATGCGCATGCACGCCTACCAAATCCTCAAAACCACCCTCAACATGTTCATCGACGACCACAATGTCATTCTCCAGGTCTTGGACATTCTTGACAAATTTCCTCGATTGACCAGGAACAAGATAGAGGGCTCAAAGATTGAAGACACAATCACCAAGCTGGCTCAATCGGAAAACGAAGAGGTCAGCGTCAGGTCGAAGAAGCTGTTGGAAGAGTGGGCAAAGTTGGAGTTGGGGTACCGCATTGGGAAGCGAAAGTTTGACCCCAACGCCCCGACCACCAACTCCTTTCAGGAGAGGCGCAACGCAGAACGCGAAGAAGACACTACCGCCAAATCGACTCCCGACCCGTTCCAAAATGTCGAGATTCCGAAGGGTCCAAGAAACAGTATGCCACAGCGGAATCCACACCTAGCGAACGGTCCCCCACGACCCAGAAGACAACACTTCCCCAACGGCCCTCTTCCGGCTGGATGGTTCACTGCAACCGACCCGGCAGGTAACACCTACTTCTATAGTAAGACCGGTGTAACAAGGTGGGAGAGGCCGACTAAGCCGGCTGATGCGCCAACCATAGCCAACAAGGCGCGAGAGGAGCAACAGAGGCTGAGGGACATCATCGACAAGGTGACGAAGGAACAAACTCCCAGGCCTTCGGCTTCTCAGACACCGCAGCGGGCAGAAACACCCGTGCAAGAGCCCAAGCCAGAAAAGTGGCGCTCTCTCAGTGTTGAGAAGCAGATGAAGATCTATGAGAATACGGTACGTCCATTTTCCCACGCGGCATGAATGCCTACTAACGTCCTTTAGTTATTTCCTCACATCAAGTACGTGATTGATAAGTACAAACACAAGCTTCCCAAGGAGGATCTCAAGCGGTTCGGCAAGGACATTAGCAAGAAGCTGGTCTCATCGGACTACAAAAGAAACCATGTCCGTGATCCAACCCAGCCTTTGGATCAGAAGCAAGCCAGGAAGGTCAAGACCTACGTCAAGGATTTCTTGGACAGGGCTGTAGTGAAAATGAAGAACTACGAGAAGGAGAAGGCTGTCCGTCATGGGCCAAAGGATGCAGGCGTCAATGGTCCAGCAACGGACGTTGATGCCATGGTGGACATCGCCGATGAAGTTATGCTTTCTGACGACGAGGAGACTGCGTCGACGGGTAGCCCAGAGAGAAAGCGGAAGCGCGAGGACGAGGCGGCTGCTTCACCGAACCTGACGCCTTCGGATGGACCCTCAACGAAGCGCTTGAGGGAGGAAGATGTGGAGGACGGTGCGCCGCCTCCTCCACCGCCCCCGCCGCCCACAGAGCCGGCGCCGACTGATTCTCCAGAGTCTCTGACTGAAGAGCAACAAGCGCTTAGGGAGCAGGAGGAAGCTCTGATGAGAGAGAACGAGGAAGCTGAGCGAGAGGAAGCCACGAAAACTCAGGGTATCTTTGATGGGCCCCGAATCAATGGTGGCGTAATCGTGGCTGGAGAAGGAGAGCCCGCTGCAGCGACCAGGCAAGAGGTTCTCGGCCACTAGAACTGGGACGAGGACAGGACGTAAGGGGGAAAAGTTGCCAATTTGGCACCTTCATTTGGAAGGAGGGCCAGCCGAGAACGAGCGAAGAATAAGCGAGACTCGGCGCTGTACGTACAAGCAAGCATATTGCATTTTTCTTTTCGGAAAGGGATTCAGCAGACCCAGAGCACTTGGTTGCTGCCATTGTTATTTTCGATTTTCTATTGTTTTCGCCATGTGGATATTCAAAACGAGGAGCAGACGGTCATGCGGGCTTGCGGAAGCTATATCTGCGTATTCAGCATCAACACAACTTTTTTCCCTTGATCAGGCATGTAGAGGTGGGAGCACAGGCGGCATTCTAGCATGTGGTTTCTCGGCAGGCAGGCAGGCAGGGGGGGCGGGTTTAAGGACGGCGGCGTTGCTTATTTCTCTCTCACGAGGGCCCTGAGGGGACCCTGAAAAGCATACCCACATTACCATACGTGGTCATGGCATAATGGCATATTGTTAAATTCTGAGAAATGATTTTTCTTGTCGTGCAAGCCCCAAGACGGAGGCTAATTGCACAAGTAACAAGCATGGTATCTGGCTTTTGAAATGCTGTGAAGCTCCTCCAAATTTGTTTGACTTTTCCCTTTCCTGAAGAACGCCGTGGTACCCATGCCTGATTAGAAACCGTTCGAGACTGTCTAATGCCCATGCCGTCGTGCTGTATGCCTCACGCAAATGATGCTCCAACCCAAGAAAATGAGATCCCGTAGACACACGCGCAAATGCCCTCACTCAAAGTCATCCTCGATATCCCCCACCTCGTCGTCGAAATCCGACTCCTCGTCACTGCTACTCTCCTCCCCGCCCTTCCTCTTCTTCTTCTTCTGCGCCGGCAGCGCCTCGGGCGCCTCGCCGGTCCTCATGAACACAAAACTCCGCGCGGGCCGGTCCTCGCCCCTCCACGCGTTCCCGCTCGCCTCGCCGGTGCCCTTCTTCTCCCGCACGACGCCGAGGGTGCGCGCGTGCCGGTACCCCGGGTACGCGCGGGCGTGGAAGCGGAAGCTCTGCAGGGCCTGCAGGCCGGCGTGGCGGCCGAGGTCCTTGATGTTCCAGAGGGTGTAGGGGTGGCCCTCGAAGAGGGTGACGACGAGGGTGCCGCGGGGCGCGAGGGAGGGCAGGGCGGACTTGAAGAAGGCGACGAGGAGCTCCTGGTTGTAGCGGACCTGGCGGTTGACGTCGGTGGACTTGCCGCCGACGTGGGGGAAGTTGAAGATGATGCGCTTGTAGAGACCGTGTTTCGTGGTCGTGGCGGTGCCGTGGTGGTTCTGGGAGGTGGTGCGCCGGGTGAAGGGTTTCATTGTGCGCGCGTCGATGTTGTAGAGGATCTTGTTGTTGTTGGGAGGCAGGGAGGGTTTGTATTCGGCGTCTTCATCGTCTTCCTCCTCGTCTGCCGCTGGGGAGTCTTCGTTCGCATCTTCGTCTTCCTCGTCGTTTTCGCCGTCGCCATCCTCTGCCTTGGTTTTGGGTTTGGGCCTGCTTCCGGGGTGGGTGATTTGGGCAATGTTCTCGTCGGCGTGGGGGTACTTCTCCAGCAGCTCCTTTTCGTTCTTCTCGAGGACGGTGGCCGTGACGTTGCGGCAGCCGTGGTGCGTCGCCAGACTCGCGGCGAAGCTGAGGTCGCCCTCGCCGATGAGTAGGATCGCGTCTTCGGGCGAGAAGGGGATGACGGGTTCCTGGTTCTGGTGATACTGCTGCTGCGCCTTCTTCTTTGCGGGGTTGTCGTTGGCGGGCTGTTTGGACTTCTTGCTGCTCGACGGAGGGCCGTTTGGTTTCCTCTTCTTAGCGGAGTCGACGAAGTGGTTTTTGTGAGTGATCTGGCTGGCGGTGCGCTTCTTCCCCATGGCTGTGATTGTCAATCGGGTGTCGCGGGGGTTTGGCGAGTGTGTATGTGCGATTGGAGCCGGAAGGGGATCGTCAAGGGCGGTTGTCGTCGTTTGCGACGTCGTGTGGTGTAGCTATTCGTGGAGTGGTGTCGCGCCGACTTAAGTTACTTTACCCCACAGTCACCGACGACTTTTTTTGCCCGGGCGGTATGAGAGGTCGTTGACCGAAGGTGTAGTGCGCCCCGGCGGCTCGGGAATAGACGAGGTTCAGCCGGTCGCAAGTGGCCCCCGCCGCCGTCGTCCGTGGCTGGGCTCTTTGGCCTTTCCCAGCAGGCACCGCGCGACAAAGCTTCTGCCACCCTACCCCCTGGACGGGGCGACACCGGATTATGGAGAACCGCAGGGGGTGCTCCAGCGTCGATTGGGAACTGGAGACGCGCCGGGGCGGGAGCGCGTACACGGTACCTCACCACGTTAACAGAGTTGTAAGGTGCTGGTTCAGGGACTTTGCGGTGCGTAAATGGAGCTCCACCTTGGGGCGTGTGTGTTGTGCGGTGTGGACTTTTATTTTTTCTCTGGTACCATTGGGAATTCAAATGGTTTTTTCTTGCAGGGAGAGGAGATTTTCCATGTTGCATTTCTGTAAGGTGACGTTTTCTCGAGGGATTGGTTGATTTGATGCATCTCGTGAGCTTGATGAGCCATCGCTGAGTGAGCGTTTGGGAGGCCATCGTGTGCTCGTCTCTTCTTACCCCCTTGGTGGACCAGACTTCAAATGAGGCTTACGGAACCTTGGGTGTTGAGCACCTTAGCAGACGCAAGGGATGATAATTCAGCAATCAGCATTCCAGGTCTGTGTTTGCTCTGTTGCCAGGCGCAGGTGGTTGCCTTGCACTCATTCAGACATGAATGTCAACAGATGGCTGTGGCTGCCAAAGCCAACGGGCGCCTTAAAACACCTCGGAAACACACGTAATCTGGTGCCATTGCCTTCTGCATTATGGGATCTCATTAGCCACAACCAACACCATCTTGCATCTGGTTGCTAGACTACTGGAGAGGCTGGAGACAAGAGAGAGACCCGGCTGGAGCTCGGGATCTGGGTGCAGTAGGGCCCACTTCTCGGACGGGACAAGGTCCTGGAAAAGTGCCCCCCGTCCGACTCGTCCGAACTTGGGACTGGGGGTTGAGAAAAATGTCTGTTTGGGAGCCGCCATCATGGTGAGATTAAAAAAAGAAAGCAAAGGAAAAAGTATCCGGCTTGACAGGATGCGCGATTACCAAAGGATTCCAACGGATCTCCCCGTCATCAACCGCAGGACCAGGCCGGATCGCCACTCGGCAGTCAACGGCGTGGCCCCGTTTCCAAAACCGTGACGGTAGCGGAAGTTCCTCTTGTGCGCAAAGCGTGGGTTTTTCTTGCTTTGGGTCTGTCTGGGGGTAGTGAAAAACGGGCACTGGCTGTTGGGTGTGGCTTTCGTCACGTCAGAGGGATGGGACGGGGGGGACAGGCCACATCCTCGCCGGCCACGACTTGGGTTTCTGTCCATCTCTTTGACGGTTGATGCTAGACACGGGTTTTCAATGCTTGTTTGTCTGCTGCTGACTCTTGACTCTGGCGCGTGTGTGTGGTTCTGCATCCGGCGGTGGTTATTATGCGACGATGCGACACCTTGGCTTGCAATGCTCGTCGTCATACAATCAATTCCCATTAGACGCCAGTCAGCCCGCCTAAATACCGAATCGAGTCGATTCGTCTGCCGGAGCGGGCGGCAGTGTTGGTGACTAGTGAGCAGGATGGACGGAGGGACGGAGGGACGGAGGGAGGGCGAATGGGCTGCTGCTGAATCAGAGGATGAGGAGAACTACTACGTACACCAGACCAGAATACATGCCTCTGACTGAGTCTGTTACCAAAGTCCGCATCTCAGGCATTCTTGTCGGTTGGCCTGCCAAGTCGCAAATCCACCGTTTCGAGGACCTGAGCGGCCCATAGCCAACGAAGCAGGACAGAGCAAGGCAAGGCACAGTCGCAGTACGCAGTACAGCGAAGCAAAGCAAATCGCGGGCAGAAGGCTTACACTGAGCTGAACGGGCCCTGACTCTGCCCCAGAGCGAGTAACTGTGACCTGGGCGGCCGGTGGGTGACCACAGTACGCGGCCGCACACTGCCAGATGGCAGGCGGTGCAAGTACTCAGTACCTTCCCCCTTCGACAGGGGTGAGAAACTATTTCCGGCTACCGGATTATCAGGCACTCCGGACGAATCAGCAGCGGAGAAATCCTGCCGACTCCTGCCAGATTGGTGTAAGTGTGCTGGGCTGGGCCTTGCCTTTCCGCCTCGCTGTAGCAGGGTGGTCACGTCTGGTCTGCTCCTGCCACTGCACCGCTCTGCTGCGCTCCGCCTGGCCTGGTACGCTCGGTATTATTCTTTGCAAAAGGCAAGAAGGGGAAATTCGCAGCACTCTTGGTCCACGACGCACTTCAACACCGCTTTCGCCGCCCCATTCTCACCTACAGCGGTCGCTGCGGAAGCTTCTCATCTTTATCGCGATCACATTTTTACCCTGCTCAGATTGGTTGCTCGTCGAGTAATTCTCGGTCGTTGCGAGAGACATCAGTGAGAAAGGCCAGGCGGCTGCTTTTTCTTAGCCCACACCCGTTCCCGCTGGCCCAATCCACACCCTCGTCTTTCTCCGAACAACTCTCAGCCAACAACGAACTTCTTCAACCAAAAGACTCTACACACTCTTCACCGTCCTCCCTCCTTCCCCGAGAGAAAGATAGACAGTCGCGCTGGCTCACGCACCAGGGAAGCGACTCACTGACCGGCCGACAGAGAGTCTCTCGATTTTTCTGCCGGCCGCTTAACTGATCTCATCTCTCCTACCCTCACACGTCTCATTACACACTTACCCGCTCTCACTTTTGCCTCCACTTACCCCCATTTCCTTCCCCCCCAGTCTGTCACGTATCTTTCATGAACGGCCATCACCGCCATCATGTCAGACACAGAAACACCGGAGCAGTCTGCTTCGACGCCGACGCCTCAGCCGACGCCTAGAGCGACCAGAGGCAGAGGTAGAGGCAGGGGCAGGAGACCCGCCGTCCCAAGAAAAGAGGCAGCACCCAAACCCGCGCCCACAGCCGGGACCGGTCGACGCGGCCGCTTCAAGCAGTTCAGCGACGACAAAGTCCAGGCTGCCTACGAGCGTCAACGCGAGCTCAAGGCTCAGTATGCGGCTTTGGCTAATGCCGTAAAGCCTGCGCTGCAAGACTTGGCGACGCGGACCGTCAGAAGACTGACCAAGGACGGCGATTACTACACGTCGGTGCCAGAGTTTGATGTGGTCACTGATCACCTCCAAGATCGCTTCACCAAGAGACTCGCCGTCGCAAAGACCAAGCTTGGGATTGACCAGAAGATGGTCCTCGCCGCCAAGGAGATGCAGCGCGAGGCCGTGCAAGAGATTTTCGAGGTACGTGTGAACCCCGGACTGACATGTCATGTTTTTTACCCTGGTCGTCGTCCGCTAACTGGCGGTGATCCGCGGCATTAGAACGGACTTGAGGATCTTGAAGACAGATTTTTGGATGCGCAGATTCATCGCCTCGATCTTTTGGAGTATCTCCATGACCATGGCCTGCCTATTGACGTAAGTATCTTACCATTTCTCGCTCGGTCGTCGTGTGGCCTGCTTGCTCACGCGTGCCCACTCAGCTCGTCGACGGCGGCTGGAATTACAAACAAATTTCAGACAAGGAAGCCTCAGAGTTTGGCATCTATGAAGTCTACGTTGACGGCCATCTCGTGCCCTACCCTCAGCTCATTGAGGGCACTGAGGCTCACGCCCTCCGCCAGGCTGCCTGGGCGGAGCCTCAACACAAAGAAACCGCGGCAGCGCCCGCCGCCGCTGCACCACGGACCAAGCGCAAGGCCAGAGACCAGCCCGATGGCCAGCCCGCCTCCAAGCGGACCGCCGGCGATGTCGCGCCTGCTAATCACATTGCGGGCATCATGTCGGCGCAGCACGCTCCCGTCGAGGATGAGTCTAATGAGAGCACACCTGTCCCCGAGGGCCCGGTCTCCGCCGACCAGAGAGAACCTCCGCTGCCTGCGAAGGCTTCGGAGCCGGATGAGTATGGCTGCAGACAGGTCAACCGCCCACCGGCCAAGAACGGAGCCATGATTGCCAACCGCATTATTGTGCCGCCTACTTTCCAGTTTGACGATGACGAAATTGGATATCGCGATTCGACAAATTCTGCAAAGCACGGCGCCACGGTTGCCAAGCGAGGCAAGTACTTTGGCAAGCCAAACTCCAACACTTGGCACTACGACCCTCTGCTCGCTCGCTGGGATGCACGTCTTGTTGAGGACGACGACATGGATAAGGACCTTGTCGAGAAGCACGGCGTCCACCCTCGCTATGGCTACTTTCTTCCTACCAGCAAGAACGACGCCGAGCCTCCCAAGGCGGAGGCTGATCCTATGCATCCGACTGTCTATCTCACCACATCTGGCCGAGCCATCCACGCCTCGCGTTATGCGCCCGTGGCGAAGGTTGACACCTCACTTGAGGAAAAGCCAGTCCGGGACTCGATGGCCGACGTCCTGTCTGCTGTCTGCGATCAGTACGAAATTGCCGAGGAAGACATCGAGGGAGAGGAGCTCAAGCAGCTCAAGGACATTGCCGCCGATTATGCCGAGCAAAGAGCCCTTGCCGAGTCCATCAAGGAATCCCAGAGCGTCGAGGAGACTCCCGCTGGATCTCCCCTCCCTTGCAATGATTCCGCTCTCAACATTGCTGGTCTTGATGACCTCGTCAGCGCCGCCGAGGCGGTTGAGGGAGAGGAGAAGGAAGTCAACCCTGTCGAGGAAAAGCCAGTTGTCGTCCAGCCTCCTACACCGGCCAGAACCACGACCCGTGCGTACGACGCAATTCGGGATATCTTTGGCGATTCTGAGCCGGCGACTGAAGCCCCGCCTACGCCCGTCATCGCCAACACCGTGACCGAGTCGGCTGACACTTCGGCACTATTGTTGCTGGCTGGCGCCATCACCGGTGACTACCAACAACAGCCTGTCGACGTGCCGATGGCAGATGCGCCTCCTCCGGTCTATGCTGCCCCGATGGATGCTCCTCCTCACCACATGGAGCCCGCCTACCCTATGCAGGCTGCCCATCCCGACTCACAGATGTCATTGCCTCCTCCGAACGCTGGTGGCTGGGTGGAGCCCCGTCTTGCCTCGCCTGGACCGGACACTCGGATTCATCAATCTATCGAGCATCAGCTACCCCCCGCTCGTCCGGTTGAGATGTCGCAGATGAGGGCTTCCATCGAGACCTCGAACGACGGCCGCCGTCACTCTATGTATCCCGAGCACAATGCTCCCTATTACGAGCAGCAGCAGCAACAGCATATGCCGCCTCCTCACCCGCAGCAACAGTACCCGCCTGTGGATCCCATGATTGACCCACGTCTCTACTCTGCGCCCATGGAGGGACCGCCGCCTGGGCATCACGACTACCACAACACCGCGTACAGCCAGCCTCAGCAGCCGTACCACATGTCGGGCATGCCAATGCAGGGGGGACCTCTGCCGCCCGCCCCTTCGCAGATGCAACAAGCAGGCTCCTCATCCCGCATGCCTTTCACGAATCCTGCCCAAGACAGAAGCTCCCCGCTTCCGCCTCTGCGCCCGTCTAGAGGCCGTAAGAGCGCACCCGCCGCACCGGAGAGCATTCCGCCTGAGCACCAGCAGGCTCAACAGCAGCCCCCGCCCCCATACATGAGCTCCAACAGCGGCTCTTTCTACCCTCCTGGTCCTCCAAGACCTTACCACAATGGCTACACTAACGAACAGCCTGGTCTGCCCATGATGCAGCCGTACCCCCCATACCCCGGATCGCAGCCTCCGCCGCTTCCTCAGCAGCAATCTTATGTTCCCCCGGGCATGTCCCCGACCAATGCTTCCGTCGCTCCTGTGCAGAGCCCTCCTTCACTGCAGTTCATCCAGCAGCAGCCCAATGAGCCTCCCCCGAGAAGCAGGGCGGGCAGCGGTTCGTCGACCCCCAGCTCTGCCGGCCCTAACAGCCGGTATCCCAAGCTGGCACCGGCGCCTATTCCCCCTCACCGGGTTGGCTGGCCGACGGGTCCAGAGTTGCGTACAGTGCAGTACGACTATAAGGAGAACATCAAGGACTATGCCCCGACCGAGCCCCCACCGCGTAGAGCCCCCATTCAAATCCGCGGCTGGAACATCAACAACAACAAGATTCAGCGCCAGCGTGCCGAGGAGAATGGAGACGAGCGTCGGGGCTCTCGCTAGAAGCAGAAGCCTGGCCCTCGTGGACCAAAGTCTGCCGCGCCCAAGTCTGGCAAGTCGGAGATCCTCCCTGCCCTTAGACCGGAGCCTGCCAAGCGTGGTCGCGGCCGTCCCAAGAAGAACCCAAGACCCGAGGGGTATGCTACTCGAGCCGCCACCGCGGCGGCATCGGTTCAAGAAGAATCTTGCAACGTAACTGCAGGCAAAACTACCCTTTAGCCTGCTACCAATACTGTTGGAGCTGAACCAAGACGAGTGCACCAGTCGCCAGAACATCTACTTTTCGAGCCATTATCGAGCCCTTGGCTTTGAAGCCATAAAAGGCGGTCTTCACATTAGACAAAATCTATCGCCCAACCCCGGAGTCAAAGGGTTAAAGAACAACCGCACACGATTCATACAAACATATTTTGCACACAGAGGAAAGGGATAGGAAAAGCGAAAACCTCTTGTATTATTATCTTGATTAGCTTTGGTTTATACCAGGGAGTGTGATCTCCCGTTGGAACGATTGAGAGCTAGGACTGAAAAGTCAGGATGGCTCCTTCGCAGCGAGGGAATGTCTGTCTCGCTCTGAAGTTTGACTGAGAGCTAGGGCTGAAAAGTCGGTGGAGGCTTTCTAAAGGATATGAGAGCTAGGGCCGAAAGGCCGGAGTCAAAGTACTCCAATAGATTTGGCATGATAATGAATACGAAAAGAATGGATGGTTCTCAAAGTTGATTCTCCCCGTGTGCTGATGTTATGTGATATGCCAGTATGTTCGAGGGATTGCCACCCCCGTGACCCTTCTATGGCTTCTGAAGACTGGTCGTAGATCCTTGACGATGCTGCGAAGAAGCCCTGTCGTCGTCGATAATCAGGCGTTTTGCCGGCACCCCGATGTTAGATGTTGTGGCATGTCTATGCTCGTGGCCAGTGTTCCTTAAATTGAATCAGCAGAAGTCGGGGTGTGCATGTCCAATGTGAATACTGGTCATCAATAATCACAAAACGAAGTCGGGCGACGGCGTGCCGAAACTGAGTCCGGTCGGCCGCCTACGCCATCAAGGGCAGTCCAAACGCAGCAGCAATAACACCAACAGTAGCATACAGATCAGAGACTCTCTGGCGTTACTCGACTGGTTTCTGGAATTGATTTTCGAACGAAAGGTGTTGCTAGATTGGTGCCTACACCATATCATATAGAATGTCCCCTGAGACGTATGGAAGTCGGTCGGTTACTGGAAAGAGGTCATATTCAAAGTTGGGCCTTTACATGCTCACTTCTAGAAATCCGCAATCCGTCCGCTTCATTGGTCTTTCGTGCTGGAGTATATCGATACTCACGAGAGCAAGTTTTTGAGATGTTGACGCCGTCTTGCGTAGGTCACGAAGTCGACAGAAAACTTTCTTCGTCGATCGCCGTGGTCGTCAGCTTGGTATCTCCCATGAATCACAGAGCAAAGGCGACGACCCAATAAGCACGATTTGACTCTCTGATGCTGGTAGAACTAGATGCCATACGCATTCTCAGTGCTGCGAATACTGTCAAGACAACAAGAGTGGCAGTCATCGCGATTTTGCCTTGATCCCTCGACACGACCGTGCAACAATGGACTCCGGCTTGCTTTCGGCATGTTGCGAATCATGATCTCCCAAGCGTCGAAGGATTCTCCCATTGGGTCTTGTTATCCAAGAGATCAACCTACCACTAAGCTACAAGACACAGATAACTCCAGTGGCCCTGAAGGCAGGTCAGTCTTGCGGTCTACTTAACTTCAGACGCCTAGACGCCGTTCCGTCACGGAATATAAGTCAAAGCTCTATGATCAAATCCAAATGCTTAGCTGATGGCAGTCTCTGCAGATATTTGGGCGGTGACTATCAAAGGTCGTGTGTCACTCGTGTTTGAGAAGAGCACTGCAGGAGACCTCGGCTTAGCTTTCGTTCTAGAGTGACAATTAACCTGTCCAAGCCCTTTTCTCTCCTTGATATCTTCAGTCTCAAATTCCATAGCAATAACTTTAAGTGCCATCCGCCTGCTGTGTCTTCACAAAATCTACTTGTGGTCTATCTGTGATGGATCGGATGTCTAACCAATCAGATCGGATGGAATCATACGAATTTATTGCCGCTGTATGTGATGAGACTCCCGCTGTAAATATGACTTATGACCATCGATGTAACACATGGATATATAGTGTTGCAGAACTCAAGTGAAATGACTATATAAAACACGAAGCTAACATTTCTTATGGGAATAATTACGAAGTCGTGCGGATGATAGCTTATTGTTCCTGGATAGCCGCGTCTCCAAGGCCACAGACTGTCTGAGAGCACCCCCTCAGTCGATCCCAGGTGAGAAGCCCCTTTGAACATTGTGAATACCCAAAAGATGCAATCACGGACGATGACGGATAAGAACTGGTTGGTCCTCAGGTTTCCATTTGCTTTCTGATACCAAAGTTGTGATAAGACAAGAAGGTGGACATGTCCAATGAACCGCTTTTGCTTACATGTCCGAAATGATGCGCAACGCGATTCGTGTCTAAAGAAACCCCAAAATAATCCACCATGTTTCGACACTATTTACAGCGCCGTCTCGAGAGGCTACCGTAATCTCAAAGCTACTCGAAGATATAACACGAAATTCTTGAAATTAGTATGATATAAGGAGGGCTTTCCATCGAGGGATTGGCCAAACAAATGACAATGGCCGGGACGTGCGATAGTGTGGCGCTTGCTTCACCCTAGGTTTGGACATGCTGCGACCGAGGACATATGATATTATTAGATAAGAGTACTAGCTTTACTCAAAATATCAAGTCGTGATCTCCGTCTCTGTTGGTTTGTATTTTCCTTTGGTTACTATACTAGGAATACCTCTTGGATATTTGCTCCATGCCAACAATCTTGTCTGATTCCAAATAACATTCCACCACACTCGTCTCTGTTATTCTATAGCTGGACAATAGAAAGCACAAGAAGGCAAGATATGCCGTGCGTACCACTTCTGATCTCCAAAGACAGAAAATGCCGTCTTATAACGTCGTCCAGATGGAGTGCTGACTAGGTTAACAGTCAACAATCCGCTCATGCGGCGACACTTACTGCTTTGTGAACATAAGAGAGATGAAATATTTGTCGATACTCATTCCTGCAACGAAATTGTGCTTGCATGGCCTGGCGTCAGCAAACTAGGTTGGTTCATGAGATGGCAGACGTTCAAAGTCTTCCCAGGATGACGCCCCGAGTACTCGTCCCGTGACGTGAGCTACCGACAGACTGCCCATCTCCTGACTTATTCTACGTAAATAATTTTAAGAAGATGCCGAAACTTTTGAGCTTTGAGTAGAACAAGCTGCTGCTCCTAGCAAAAGCCCCTGAAATAGGAGGAACTTGGGGCTGTCACTACACAGCAGGAGAGATGTAGAGTCTGGATATGGGAAGATTTACCTGCAGCCCTATTTAATGTCATGACAAGAAACTAGACTGAGCAAAAGGTGAACCTGGCTAGGTTTAGATTAGGGATTTTCGAATGTGCTGGCAATGGAAAGGGGGTGAGGTCACAAATATTGCAAAAGTCTACGGATACGTCAGACGGCAGATTGGGGGAAGGATTTGTACCTACATTGACTCCCGAAGTTTTCCAGACTCAAGGCCATGATTACCTATGAGGCATGAACAAGAAGAATCTACCATATGGCAAATACTGTGGGCGACCTAATAGAAACGGCCGTGATGAAGACCCCGGATAATCACAGAACAGAGATGGGATGTAGTTGCATAGGTGTTGACATGTTGGGCAAGGACCGGCAGAAAGTAGGCTGGCACTGCGTCATACACGCAAAAGTTGGGAAAGTGCAGGTGGAATATGGTGACCATTGTGGGTGAGGAGAGAGTAGATTTGATCACTCAGAAGGAGCGAACACGGGGTTGACGGCTGTCTGTCAATCCCTGCGCAGAAACCTTATCTGAGATGAGTGGTCAGAGAACCCTGAAAGCTGGGAACAAAGGCAGTGGTTCACAGCGAACACCTTTTGCTGCCTACCTAGATGAGTTGCAACGTGAAAGCAAGCAGGCAGCACCCGCCCCTCCTGCCTAGACTGTGAGTCTACATACTTGGGGAAAAAATCACCTTGGGATCTCAACAGCTACTGGGACATCTTTCTGGCATATGGCCTGGTCAGTAGATCACAGCATTAAAAATATACCGTTGGTCAGATGGCTCTGTTAACATCTGCACGGCGCTCTGGTTCGACGCTCCATATGGGCACAGAGCGTATGACACTTTTTTTTTTTTTCTTTTTTCTTTCATTCTTCTTTTTTAAATAGTCTCTATGAGACTCATGAGAGCTATCTGGCTCTGGATAGTTTTTTTCCTCGTCGGTTTTCCACTTCGTAATCTGGTGATGGCAGGTCCTTCGACTCGCCGAACCCAGTGGGCAGCCACGGGCCTTGGTCATACGGTGCACCAAAGCGACCTGCTGGGAGGTGCCTTCTCCGGCCCATATTACTGCTGTTCATCAACAAAATGTCAAGTGGCAGTGCATTTAGCGAGGTCCAAAAGAGTTCAAGATATCACATCCCGCAAGTGAACCCGATCGACCGTCTCTGAGCGTGAGCAACGTCTTTTTGGTTTATTACAGTGTAGCTAATATTACATATCTCCGAGCCTTTTCTCCCTCTCCAGGTGAAGGCATTGAGATGGGGCATCCTGTAACTCAATTCCTGGCAGTCAAATTGTTGTACACACCACCCCCGGCCCATGTATTTTGAGGTTTTCAAGCGTGGCAGTCTACGCTGCCATCATAGCCTGGTTGATCTAATGCGATATAGACGGCTTACTGAGTCATGATGGCATTACCAAAGTCCACCGTGCCGTCCATGTTCATCATCATGCTGGGGTCAGGGACCATAGCGCCTCCGTTAGGCATGAGACCGCTCGGCGCAGCAAGAGAGAGCAGACCCCTGCCCAGCTCACCGACGGGGTGCAGCGGGTAGACTGACGCTTCCATGCTGTTACCATCGAAGACGACCATGTTCTGAATCGGCTGCTGTGTCTGGCCGAGAACGTTGATGACATCCTGGGCAAGCTGTCCTCCAAGAATGGCCGTGACGGGTGCCATCTCGCTGCCAATGTTCTGCAAGAAGCTCCTGAGGACCTCTGAACGGAGAGTCTCGGACGGCAGACCGAGCTGGGCGTGCTTGGCCGTCGCGAGCTTAGTGAACAGTCCCAAATCTTCCTTATTGTGATTGGGCAGACGACCGCCGTTGAGGACCTGGAAATCCCAGAGAGCTCGCAAGCAGGAGAGGACGGGGCTGACGGCCTTCCTGCGACGCGGGCTCTTGGCGTACTCCTCAGGCAACGTGGCACCGTCACTAGCCAGGTACCAGGTCGAGTAGAGTTCGCGCTTCGTAACCACTTCGATAGTCTTGCCGCCCTCCTTCTTCGTGTTCACGGCAACAACGCTGCGGGTCCGCGTCTCGGGCTGCAGCTTGGTTGCCATGTTGCCGAGATCTCTCTCAATGACGTAGTCGTGCTCGATCAGGTCGGAGAAGATGAAGCCGTACATGCCTTGGGTGCCGGCGGCGTAGAAAGACTTCTGGTGCAGACGGGTGGCGGTGTTGATGATGTTCAGGGAGTCGGGGTCGAGGTCGGTAGCGATGACGATGTCAAAGGCGGAGAAGTAGCTCGTTCCCTTGGACTTGATGCCCTCGGCGTCGACATGGACATTGACGCGCGGGTTAAGCTTGCGAATAGCGGCAGCAGCAGCGTGAGCGCGGTTCTGGCCGACGTGGTTCTCCTCTTCAGAAAGGAAGAATTGCGAGCCAAGGTCTGACTCAGAGACGCCGGCACCGTCAAGGATGGTGAGGGTGCCGATGCCGGCGAGCACGAGGTTCTTGGCGATCTCGTTGGCGAGAGCCTTCATGGTGATGAGAAGGATGTTTGCGTTGCGGATCTTCTCCTGGGCCTTCATACCCCAGAGGCGAATCTGACGGTCGTAGAGCGCGATCTCATCTGGAAAGGGTCAATAAGGGCATACAAAGACAGAGGTGAGAAATTCATACCTGCGGTCATCGCGTTGGCAGGAACACTTGGCAACGCGCCGTTGTTCATGAGCATTTGCTGCGCGTCTGGCTGCAGAAGCTGAGGCATGAACATCTCGCCCGTAGGCAACATGCCGGGGAGAATTTCCGGCATAGCTCCTGGCATGACTTCCTGCAAAGCGTCAGGAAGCACCTGGTCCATGGATGCATGCAAGTTGGGGTTGAAGCCGTTGGCCATGTCGGGCATGGGATGGCTTGGGATAGAGACTTGTTGAGGCTGAGGCTGTGGAGGTGCTGCGCTAGTCTCAATTGCAGCGGCAGGCGCAACCGCTGGTGCAGCAGCCTCTGGGGCGGGCTTGTCTTGAGGCTGTGATTGCTCCTCCATGCTGAGCTAGTGAGATGAAATTGAGATGGGCTGAGGAAGGCGCGATGGATGCGCAATCGGTGGTGGTCGCGTCGTTTGGACGAGTTCAGCTGATGGCCGATTCGTCGGGGGGGATCTTGAGATAAGTTTGCGCCAGGCACTGACTGATGAGATGCGCGACGCAGCGAATCGGTAAGAGGAAAGTGAAACCGGATCGAGCGAGCTGGGCGTAGGCGAGGGTTTACGAGGGTCGCAGTGTTCGGGTCGGAGGCAGCTTTTGCTGCAATCGCAAGTGAGCAGATCAAGTCGCTAAAATGACGTCGCCGGCTGAAGAGTTGATGTTGATATAAGGCCTCAGCTCATGAAGCAAAGCAAGGCTGAAGGCCAGAGAGGTTCACTAAGAGAGACAGAGGCAGAGACAGAGACGCCAGCAAACAGAAATTGTTAACGTGACGACCAAGGCGCAAGGCACGTCCAACGCAGGCCCCGGACTGGCACGGATAACGCGCTAAAGCCACGCTTAATTGGTACCTTACTCTCCAGCACGAATGCGCGCGAATCAGAAGTAGCTGCTATCAATTATCGGCGCTGCCTCCTTCCCTGCATCACGGGCAGTTCTTACAGGCACGGAACCCCGCGATGGACAGGGCCAGGGGCTTACTTTAGCGGGTGCATCAGGGCGATCCCACCACTGAAACTGTTCGTTTGCTTGCCTCCCTCCTGCTGGATTGGACTTTCGAGTAGCCGTCCAACTTCAACCATCGACCAACCAACTTCCGCCTTTTACTGCCCTGCTGACGACACGGCGAGCTGCTGCGACGGCCACTCGCGCCAGCATCCTCTGGTTCTCTCGAAAATATCGCTTCCATACCTCTTAGAGCATTTCGAACCCATCAGCATCTCGTTCCTCGTTTGCGACGATTAATGGTAGCCTTCACCGATCGGCCCCCCGCCTGCAAACGCCTCGTGTGTGAGTGCAAACCCCCCCAGTGGAGGAGGTTCCGCCCTCGTCTTCGAGCCCTATCTTCGGCAGCCTGCAGACTCGAACTGCCGACTCCTCTTCTGCACAGCTTCCGATGTGTTCGCCTGGTCACCTAATCAGTTCTTCAGGTGCATGCATTCTTTGACCGGTTTCCTGCAGCTTGATGTGCAGTTAACCACGACCTCAGCACCGTCAGCTTCCCCCGAAGCCACCGCCCGTCGAACCCACATTTCTTACGTCGATTCGGAACCGCCAACCCTCCTGCGACCTCTGGCCACCTGACACTGAGGACCGACGAGCTTTGCGAGCCGCTCCTGTCTTCTGGTGTCTGCGTCGCTGGACCCTCAAAATCGTCCTCTGACGAAGCATGTCGTCACAGCGGCCAGACCCGAGTCAGAACCCTCAACGGCGAGATCAAGACTTTCCGCCCCTACCGCCATATCGCAGACTCCCCCCGCTACCGCCCTTGCCTTCGAACCGCGGCCCTCGTCCCCCGCTTCCCCCTCGGCACCGTCTCTGGGGAGCTGAACTTTACGCATCCCACGGAGATCAGGAAGATCCGTACGACACAGACGACACGGGAGACATCGTCCGAGCCGCACGACGACAGATGGCAGACAGGCACTTCCAGGCGGAATACGACGAACTTCTGGGGAACTTCGTGGGCAACACCCTGAGTGATCTGACTGCTTTCATTTCATCGGCGTCAGATCCTGTCTTGGAGCGCTCACGGAATCGTAATCAAGCGACTGGCTTGTTAGAGACCCTACAGAACGACCAAAGACCAGAGGACGACTCCCGGCGCCCGGCCACGCAACTGCCCCCAGTTTTTGGCTACCGAACTATCCGATCCTTGAACGGCCGACAGCGACACGACGTCGGCGCTGAAGACGATTTGGAGGCGGTTAGAGCATTGTGGAACCAGAGGGCTCAGTACAGCTCATCACCCTTTTCTCCGCCCAGGATGCCTCCAAATCTATCCCCACCAAATCTGTCACCACTTCCGCAGTCGGAGGAGTACCCCGAGGAGAACCGACGTGTAAAGAGGAGGAAGCTGGATTCTGAAAGAGCCTCGCAGAGTTTCAAGGGTTTTCGATATGGAAGATATGGTCAGGTCGAGCCAGGCCAGCTGAAGATGGAAATCCTGAGCTGCGACGGAGGACTATTCGAAAACGGGTCTTCATATGCTTACGACAACATACTAAGAGACGACAAGACCGTCTATTGCACGCAGTCTAATCGTTGCAATATCATACTGAAGCACCAGGGTGCGACGCCGTTCAGTTTGAAAGAGCTCGTGATCAAGGCTCCAGCTTTGAATTACTCCTCGCCGTAAGTCGGCCTTGCGCAGAGCCACAGATTGTGACTGACGCTTTCGTAGTGTACGAGAGGGCATGGTATTCGTATCCATGCACCAGGATGAGGTCTTGACGCGAACGGCACAATATGAGATTCAATATGCTTCATTGAGATCAGGCCGATCATCGTCCACAAGACCGCTGGCCCCAATCATCTCTATTCGGCACCATGAGGACGGAACTACCGTGACCAGGACACACACTCGACAGAGACGGATGTACAGTATGGACGGGGAAGATGACGAAAACGAGCAGCGGACGGCACAAATACCCGCAGAGTTCACAAGTCAGCTGCCACCTTTCAACATCACAACCGAGTGCAGCTACGAGGAGACGGATGACGAAGATACACCAAGAATCTCGGTCAATAGGCGAGCACCGAATAGAATCGGATCGCTGCCGTTCGAAAGCGATAGTAGCGATGATGGGAACCCGTTCGCGTCGGACAGGTATGATTTTGAAGATTATTCTTTCAACAACAGACGCCGAGACCCGTCGAATATGTCTCTGGCAGAGGCTGTTGAGGCCACTCAGATGGCAACCCAAGAAGCTGTCCGAGCTGTGGGCGGTGAATTAATGGCGCCGCACGCCAAGTTCTTCATCGAGAAGGACAAGAGCAAGTGTACCATACGGTTTGACCCCCCAGTCTCGGGGCGGTTCATTCTCCTCAAGATGTGGAGCAGCAGCCGTGCATCTGGAAGCAACATTGATATACAAGCGGTTCTCGCAAAGGGCTTCGCGGGGCCTCGGTATTTCCCTTCGGTGGAACTGCGATGAGATCGGGTAGAGGATGAACACGACCTGAATTTCCTAATATTAGTAAGGTGGCTTCATAACTCATGACGGGACGTCGAATGGAGTTCTTGGCAGTGGCGCAAACTGGAATCGTGATGAGAAATCACATTATTATATACCATATAAATTTATTCGAGGCTTCATCACCTGAGCGTGGGATTCGGGGTGATATATGACCCTGTTCAGACTGACATGGCTAAAGACGGCGGGGGCGATGGCTCTCATCTTAGGCGACAGCCTATATGTTCTTGCTTCTGCTGCTTTGTTGTCAACCGGCGAGAAGAGCAAAATGGCCCAGCGGTCAGGTCAGCGCAATCGCAGCGCCCTGGTGTCCATATCTGATCGGTGGGGTTTAAGGGTTCAAATGAATTCTTTTGACATGTTGAACTTTTTTCCCCCTTTCTTTCTTTTCTTTCTGAGGCGAGTCCCCCAATTTCTTCCATCGCTCAGCGACGATGAATCTGAACTTGAAAAAGTTTCCAGAAAATATCACGAATAGATGCTACACTTGTTTCCCAGGTCCTGATAACTGATCAAATTTGTTGTCTTGACCGTTGTCGTCGCGGTTTGTCTCGGAGGTGTAGTCTGATTCGATGGTTCGTTGGGGGGGACCAAACCCACCAATCGCCCGCCTTGTGCAAGCCATTTTCGTCCTCACCTCGTCCCGCAAAACCTAGAATGAACCGCAATTCGTCATTCATACTGCTTTGTCAGTGAACATTCAGTACAAGCAAGCCAGCCCAATAACCCAACACCTAGCTATTTAGCAGCTGTCTTAAAACTGAGTTTGACCAAACCTGCCGTTTGGAAAGCGGAGCATAGCGCAAAAACACACAACGTCATCAAAAATGAGCCACGAACTCACACTCATCGTCGCGGCGACGCGCAACATGGGCATCGGAGCCAAGGGGGGCCTCCCCTGGACGGGTTTGAAAAAGGAGATGGCCTACTTTGCGCGCGTGACCAAGAGGCTTCCAGCTCAGGTAACCTTCTTCCGCCCTCATTCCTCACTCAACCGACGGCAACGCAACACACCTCAAATGCACCCAGACTAACACACATCACCAGGCCCCCTCCGGCGCAAAGAATGCAGTGATCATGGGCCGTAAAACATGGGACAGCATCCCCCCGCGCTTCCGCCCTCTCAAGGGCCGCCTCAACATTGTCATCTCCCGCTCCCACCCTCCCTTCGACTCCTCCGCCGCGACCCCGGCGGACTACGACAAGGAGCCCGTCAAGGTCGGCTCGCTCGAGCAGGCCCTCGCCTTCGTGCGCAGCCGGCCCGGTGAAGAGGTCAGCAGCAAGGTCTTCGTCATCGGGGGCGCGCAGATCTACGGCGCCGCGCTGGAGCTGCCCGAGGCGAAGCGGGTGCTTCTAACGAGGGTGCTGGGCGACTTTGAGTGCGATGCGTTCTTCCCGCTTAAGCTTGGCGGCGAGGACGCGGCGGAGGGGTGGAAGAGGAGGGAGAAGCGGGAGCTGGACGGGTGGGTTGGCGAGGAGGTTGAGGGGGGCGAGATTGAGGAGAACGGCACGCGGTATGAGTTCCAGATGTGGGAGAAGGCATAAGATGGGTGTTTTTTCATTCCTTGTTGGGTCTCCAATGGAGACTTGGGGTTCGTGGACATGTCTACTTTTTCCGACCCTCATGAGCCGTAAGCATCATCATTCATGGTGACGCCTCTAGTATGCCGGTGATTGTACAGAATTACAAGCGTATTGCCATGATGGTACACAAAAGAAGCGCATTCCAGCTCTTTACAAAACCTTGGCAGCAGCCTCCTTTAATGACTCAACCTCCTCGTACACGGCGCCCTGCCTCTCCGCAACCGGCTCAGGCGGCGGCAGCCCCTCCCCCTTCGCGCCCAGCGTCCCAAACTCCCCCTGCAGCTCCGGCGCAAACGCGTCCACGAGCTTGAACATGTCCTTCAGGTCCCGTCTGAACACCGTCCGCGGGTCCACGAGCAGGTCCTCCACGGCGCCGGCCTCGAGGTCGCGCAGGCTGGCGCGGATCCACGCGACGACGGCGGCGACCTGGCGCATGTCGGCGTCCTCGCGGGACTTGAATAGGTTGCGCCAGACGGCGGCGCCGAGGACGCGGTCGTCCTTGACGATGCCCTCGTCGTAGGCGGCGATGAGGCCGCGCCACTGCACGAATATCTCCTTGAGGTAGCGCTGGCGCAGCGCGGACGACGTCATGCCGTGGTTAAGGTGCATCATGCGCTCGCAGTCGAAGAAGAACTGGTCGATGAACTGGTGCTGCAGGGCTTGGGCTGCGTCGCGGTCGAGGCAGCGGAGGCGGGCTAGGACGATGTACATGTGCAGCATCGTGGTCTGGGACCAGGAGGAGAATGAAGGCTGGAGGTCGAGGGCTGTTTTTGGCGGGCAATCATGTTAGCATCTTGGGATATCTTATGGCGGGGCATTATGCCTACCTTCGAGCCAGGGACCCTGAGCCTCGCCGACTTCCTCGCCGTCATCCGTCATCCTCACCGTCTCGTTGTGGCGGTCTTGCTCGGAAATCTTGTACAGGGCAGGCTTGGCGCAGGCACCGTACAACGCCTCGAGACGGTTCGTCGTCAGCGAAGCCGCCATCGTCTTGGGTGCCGCGGCGAGCATACCCGCGCGGATCGCCTGCTTGAAGCTTGCGCCTTTAACATCTTTCCTGGGCACAGATTGGCTAAAATATCTCGCTCCGCTCGCCGCTGTCGGTCTCGTAGTTTGGGTTGCCGGGGCAGAAGAGGCTATCGCACGGCGGGCGAGGACGTTCTGGGTCGAAGATGCACTTGAAAGTTCTGCGGTAGCTCGAAGACTCCGGGCTAGGAGCCGGGCTTGGTAGCGGCAGCTCTGGCAGGCCATGTTGAGAGGTTGTTCGGATTGAATTTCGGCTGCGCATGAGCTTCGATGTTGCAGGGGAGGTAAATCGACGAATTGGGGCGGGCCTTTTTCTTGGGTCAGCTCGGGCCCGGCTTCGCGAGGCTCAAAGTCTGAACGTCATCCAAAAAATTCATGAACACATCGAATTGGAAATTTCGAGCTAGCGCGCATGTGCCAGATCGGCGGAACTTCGGGTCATCCACCTTTGCACAGTGTGACGTCTACTTCGCACGGTGACTATAAGGTATCTCGATATCGTTAACTATCCTTATTACACCTTTTATTAGGGAAGTCTCGTCCCTTGCATAAACACTGGCAGAGTTCTATTGGCGACCAGGAATAGCCAAGTCGACTGGTCGCGTGTTCAGACCAGAGACTTCAAATTCTGGAGACGGACTCCCAAATTTGACAATTGACCGGCGGGTATCTCCAGCCTCAAGCTTCCCGTCTTGAGGTGAGTTCGACAATTATAGTTGGCGCCATTCGCGCCTTCAATTGCGGTTATCGGCAATTCTATCTCATACACGTGGTGTATCCAAGTTGCACAGAGGTGATGACGACGACAAGCTTCGGCCCATCTCGTATATGTCTATTCGCAAAGTCTGAGCCAGACTGATGAGATGCTGCGACGAGACGGGTGTCTTCGTCGCAACATGCTTCGTTCTTTCCCGGTCGACGAACCGTCCTTATCGGACTTTGGAAAAAACCAACGAGGCATTCGTGCCGCCGAAGCCAAAGCTATTGGACATGGCAACGTTAACCTGTTTCGCTTGTGCTTTGAGGGGTACCAGATTCATGGATCCCCCGACATCTGGGTTTTCGAGATTCAGAGTAGGCGGCACAACATCCTTTGATAGAGTCAGTGGTGTTCATTGGGCCAAAGTCTGGGGAAGATAAGGTTTCGGTTTCAGAAGAAATAGCCGCGCCCTATACTCACCTCAGCCACTGATAGCACGGCAAACATGGCTTCGATCGCGCCAGCCGCCCCCAGTAGATGCCCAACTGCGCCCTTGGTGCTGCTCACGGTTATCTGCGACTCGTCCGCGTGGCCTTCCTCACCCGTCATGATGCTTCGAATTGCGGAAGCTTCTGCGACATCACCCACCTGTGTCGCCGTAGCATGGGCATTAACGTAGCTCACATCGGCCGGTGGGATGCCCGCGTTCTTCAAGGCAGCCTTCATGGCGCGGAAAGCACCGTGGCCGTCGTCTCGCGGAGCCGTCATGTGATTTGCGTCGCCGCTGCAGCCGTAGCCCCTGACCTCCGCGTAGATGTGCGCACCCCGGGCCCTGGCGTGCTCGAGTTCCTCCAGGACCAGGACTGCCGCACCCTCCGAGACGACGAAACCATTGCGGTCGCGGTCGAAGGGACGACAGCTGGCGTGGGGGTTGTGGTTGTAGGCCGTGGAGAGGGACCTTGCCCTCCCGAAACCTGCAAATGTCAAGGGATGGATGCAGGACTCTGTTCCGCCAGCAACCATGACGTCGGCATCGCCAAAAGCAATGAATCGCATCGCGTCGCCTATGGAATGCGCGCCGGTTGTGCAGGCGGTTGTAACGGCATGGTTAGGGCCTTGCAGGCCGTATTTCATGGAGACATGGCCAGCGGCCAGGTTGATGAGAATTTTGGGGACGAACAGCGGCGAAACCTTCTTGTAGCCCTATCCGAACAGACTTTAGCTTGGCTTCGCTCGTCGATCACTGCGGCTCAAATCCTCACTTGTTGGTTGAATGCCAAGCTCGTCTCGTAAATCTCTTCCAGATTGCCGATACCACTGCCCAGACAAACTCCCGTTGCTTCCAGGTCGTCTTGGCTTTCCGGCTTCCATGCGGCATCCTTCATGGCCATGTCCGCACAGGCCACGGCATATTGGGCAAACTTGGACATGCGACGTTGTTCCGTGGCGTTGAGCCAGTCGGACGGTCGCCACTGTTCAGGACCTGTGCCATGGCTGGGGACTACACCAGCAACCGTGCTTGTCAGATCCTTCCAATGCTTCTGTGGCTCGAAGTTGGCGACGCTGGTGATGGCGGACTCTCCAGCCAGCAGCCGTTTCCATGTATTGCGCACGCCGACACCGAAGGGCGAGATGGCGCCGAGCCCTGTCACGACAACTCGTCGCATGATCCGGCCATGTCCAGGGTGACGGCGATCTGTGGTGTGTGGTTACTTTTGCCTTATAAACGCACCGGAATATAAACGGCGTGAAGATAAACGGCAAGGAAGGGCAAAAGGCGGGGGAAAATGGGGCGTTGCCGTGATTCGCCCGATAAGAATTGAGAGAGAAGACGAGGGTCTGAGAAGAGCACGGCCAGGTATGAAGTGCAGTGTCAAGTGTCAGGCCAAGCCGGGTGTGGCTAAGGAGTCGAGGATTGAAGTCGGAACAATGTTAGAGACTGCGCTGCAGACTTGCAGTAGAAGCCGCGGTCGGGTCGCTTCTGCTGCGCCGCACAGATGCAAGTTTTAGCGCGTTCTTCACAGAGAGACAGTTCGGATAAGGTACGTACCGCTCGAGGCTGCAGGGGGAGAGGAGCGCAGACACACTGTGCTGCCAGGGGCCGTCATAGCGACGACCACGCGACATCTGGAGGCAGTAGGGCATTTCAGGGCGCCATTTCATGGTGCTGTCACAGTGTCGAGATCTGACGGCCGTCGCCGAGAGCAGATTGCAGCGGGAAGCGGGGGACACTAATGTGGTCGCTGCAATTGGGTCAGGTCCCCCATTGGCGGCGGGCAGCTCCAGAGACCTGGTTCCAGCCAACGGGGTCTCTGCGCCGCAAACGCAACGCAACGCTGCGCAACGACATACGTTGCGACTGCGACTCGACTGCACATGCTGCTGTCGCTCACTCACTCACTCACCTCTCACTCTCACCTCCATCCAACGTACCCCCACGACCCGCGAAACCTTCACCTCTCTGCTGCGTCTGCGCTTTGCATTCACTCACCACCACCACAACACCACGTCGATTGCGACTGAAGGGGTGACATCCTTATCCAACCCTTTGGATCCCTCTTCCATGCGCGCTCCAGGGGCCGCCCAATCCAATACGCGAGAAAGAACGAACTCCCCGGCGGACGACATCTCAACTTGCCATTGAGCCACGTTTCAGACAAGACCGTCTTCCTTGCATTCCAAATCGCCATCACCACCGTCCAGGCTAAACCAGCCGAGAGAAACAATACCACTGCCGCCAGGAACAAGAGGCAACACCCCAATCTTGGCTTTGCTGTCTGGCAGGGTCTCCCATCGCACTTCGGTCGACGCGGCACCCAAACACGACCTTCTTTCATCCCCGCAACTTGCGGCTCTCACCTCTCGGCCCTCAACTCGCCACACCCACACGCATCTGTGCTGAGTTGTGCCGCAGCTTGGTTTCAGCGTCGCATTTGTTTCCCTTCTTATCGATTGGCCTCTGTCGTCCTATGAGCCTGTACATCGCCTTAGTCCAACCTTCTCGCTCGAGCATTGATACCAGTCGGGACATACGCCTTCCTTGAGACTAGCCCATTTCATGCCTTCGCACACCATCGTCCTCGACATCTGTGGCCATCCGATCATCGCCCATCCCACATCCCATACCCTCGACGTTGCCTCCCTTCAGTCATCCTCCTCGCCTGCCTTCAGTCTGATCCCGGTTCGCTGATCGCCCCTACTTCTCCTCTGCCGAGCATCACCCTGTCTCCCCCAGAGCACGGGGCCAGTCATCTACTCATCGACCCTGCGGCCCTGCAGGTTGATTCACCTCGAGTTCCGCGTCCAATCACGCCACCGCTGGCCTTGAGAAATTCATCAGAGAGGCTTATCGGGTACATCCAAAAGGTTCCCATTAGCGTTTGCTTCATGTTCGTCTGGGATCGGCGCTCGTAGCTCAGCGGGTTCCCCTCGACCCGTCTCTCTCTCCCAACGCACAGCACATCCGCCTGTGCCGTAGTAGACACTTTAGACTCTCCCCTATATAGAAACCCACTGCCTTCTTCCTATTTTGGACGTTTTAGCCCTCGCGTCGATGATTGTGCTCCCTCGCTGTCAATCCAGTCTGGGAATACCTTCAACATGGTCCAACCATCACATGCACAGTCGTCTGGCACGGCTTCCGCACCAATGATGGTAGACCACGATCGCGGGTACGACGACAAACAGGAAGGGGTTGAAGTCAGTGGGCGCGAGATCAACCCTGCCTCCGACTCGATCACGTCGAGATATCAAGAACGGCCTGATCCGGTCGAGGACTTGAAGGAGCGCCTCTCGCAATGGGGTGAGTCTAGTGTCTATGCCGGCTACTCTGATGATGAAGAGCAAGGGTCCGAACATGAACTTCTCTTAGATCCCAATCTGCCCGAAGAATACGACTCGAGAGTCCAGAAGGCGGCGACCACGCCTACTGAAGAGGTTGACGATGAGTTGGCTATGAAGGCCGAGGAGGAGGAGGACTCACCGTATCCCGAAGTTCGCGCCGCCGTCCGCAACTACGACGAAGACGTACCATGCAATACGATCCGAGCATGGACTATCGGTTTGCTGCTGGTGACCGTCGGTGCCTCGATGAACACGCTGTTCTCATTACGCCAGCCGTCCATTGGTCTTGGACCTCTGATTGCCCAGATTATCGCTTGGCCCATGGGACATGGCTGGGCTAAGGTCATGCCCACGAAGCAGTTCAAGACGTTTGGTATCAAGTGGAGTTTGAACCCGGGACCATTCAATGTCAAGGAGCACTCTATCATCGTCGTCATGGCGGGTGTCTCCTTCTCTGTTGCGTATGCCACGGATATTATTTTGGCTCAGCTTGTGTTCTACAAGCAGGATTTCGGCATCCTCTTCCAGCTGCTACTGACGATTTCGACACAATCACTCGGCTACGGAATAGCCGGCATTATGAGAAAGTTCCTCGGTGAGTTGGTACGTGAGCGGGGTGGTGTGTCAGTTTGCTAATGTCAAGATCAGTCTATCCGGCCGCCATGATCTGGCCCGGAAACTTGGTCTCCGTCACTCTGATGAACGCCATGTACGAGAAGAATGACCGCCCCGACCCGAGCTTCATCGGTGGCTCCATGCCGCGATACAAGTGGTTCTCGATCATCGTTTTGGCTTCGTTCTGCTACTACTGGATCCCGGGTTTCCTCGCGCAATTCCTCAGCATCATGGCCTTCGCCACTTGGATTGCGCCGAACAACGTCATCGTCAACCAACTGTTTGGCGGCACAAGTGGCCTGTCGCTGCTGCCACTGACCCTCGACTGGACTCAGATCTCCGGTTTCGTCGGCTCCCCTCTTATCCCCCCATGGCACGCCATTGCCAACACCCTGATCGGTGTTGTCACCTTCTTCCTCATCGGCGCCTCAGCCTTCCACTACAGCGGTGTGTGGTACGCCCAATACCTGCCCATGAGTGACTCGGGCACCTATGACAACACCGGCAGCCCGTACAACACTAGCCGTATTTTGACCCCCCAGTTGACGCTGAACGAGGAGGCGTACAAGGCCTACTCGCCGCTGTTCATCAGCACGACTTTTGCCATTTCTTACGGCCTGTCATTTGCCGCCATCGCCTCCCTGATCGTTTACACTTACCTGCACAACGGAAAGCAGATTTGGGCTCAGTACCGCGGCAGCACCAAGGAGAAGCCCGATATCCACATGAAGCTCATGAAGAAGTACAAGGAGGCGCCTACGTGGTGGTACATGGGTCTCTTCGTAATTGTGAGTGCTCAAGCGCCGAAATCCTTCCGTCGCTTACTGACCTGAACTCTAGATGCTTGGCGTCGGCTTCGTTGCTGTCCTCGCGTATCCGACCAACCTGAGCTGGTGGGCTTTCCTCCTGGCTGTTGTCATCTCCTTCAGCTTCTCCCTGCCCATCGGTATCATTCAGGCCATCACGAACAACCAGATTGGTCTGAACGTGCTCACGGAGTTCATCTACGGTTACATCCAGCCCGGACGACCTCTCGCCCTCATGATGTAAGCTCTTTATTTCCCTCTTGCCCTTCGCGCCTCGCTGACACCCTCCACAGTTTCAAGACCTTCGGCTACATCACCATGTCTCAGGCCCTCAGCTTTGTCTCAGACCTCAAGTTCGGTCACTACATGAAGATCCCGCCCCGCACAATGTTCATGTGCCAGGTCGTCGCCACGACCTTCTCCTGCTTCATCCAGATCGCCGTCCTCAACGCCGCACTGAAGAACATCCCCGACGTCTGCACCCCGCACCAGGAGAACAAGTTCTCCTGCCCCGGCGGCCGCGTCTTCTTCGCCGCCTCCGTCATCTGGGGTCTCATCGGCCCTGCGCGCATGTTCTCCCCGGGCCAGGTGTACTCGGGCCTCTTCATCTTCTTCGGCGTCGGCGCCATCACCCCCGTTATCTTCTACTTCGCCGCCCTCAAGTGGCCCAAGAGCCCCATCAAGTACCTCATGGCCCCCGTCATCTTCGGCGGCGCCGGCGCCATCCCGCCCGCCACCCCGCTCAACTACCTCAGCTGGGGCATCGTCGGCTACATCTTCCAGCACTACATCCGCAAGAAGCACTTTGGCTGGTGGTCGCGCCTCAACTACCTCACCTCGTCCGGCCTGGACCTGGGACTCGCCCTGGCGACGCTGGTCATCTTCCTGGCCTTCACGCTCAACAAGATCGAGCCGCCCAAGTGGTGGGGCAACGACATTGTCACATCAACAATGGATGCGCAGGGCACTGCGATCCAGATGACGCCGCCTCCGGGTCAGAAGTTTGGACCGACGCACTGGTAGAGAGAAAAGAGGTGTATGTGTATGTGTGTGTGTGGGGGTTTGCGACGGCGTTGGGTCTATGGGTGTCACACAAACTAATTTTGATATAGGGACAACAAGGGATTGGGAAAACCAAGGTTGGGATTACTAAGAGATGGTAGATGGCTGGTAACCACGACACTAAGCTGCTTCAATTATTGTGTATATTCTGTACTCAGCCGCGCTACGCCGACTTTTTTGTCTAATCTTACTCGTTGTTTCTGTACACGATCCACCACTTCAGTCACTTCATATATTGTTGACTGTTTCATGTCTGCTTTGTCATACACGAACTGATGAAATCCGCAAGAGACGATTGAAACAACTAGATTACCAAAGTATGGCGAGACGACCATCATATGGCGATCAACTGACAGAGCGTAAACAACAGCCTGGCTAAGCCTCGTAGTGGTCCCTGTCAACGGGTCGTATAGGAAGATCTCTTTACAACAGTAAGTAGAGCCGCGCCGCGATTACGCAGTCACTCAAGCGCGCTGTGCCCCACGCGTGGTGTAAAATCGAACCACCACCCATCATCGTACAGGCATCGATAACGAAGACCGGAGATGCAGCTTCGGCATTCTCACACCGAGCCAGAACCCCATAGCAAAGCAACAAGAACCGTAGATCTTACAACACACGGATTCTTGGCTCTTGGTGGTTCAAAACGCCACACAATGTTTGTGAAACCAAGCAGCGTAGTAACGGTACCCGAAACTAAGAGCGTCGCATCGGCGGTGGATTGTGCCTGTCTGCTGAGTGGAAACAGTCGAGTTTTGATGGGTGGGGCCCGCGCGCGGCGATGGTGTTCAACTCCGTTAATCCGCTGTGGAGGCGCTAACGGTTCGGGGCAAACGGCCGGGGCAGTGGGGCACTGCGACGGGGCGGGCGGGCAGGTCCAGTCAAGACTCGAGACTCTCACTCAAGCCACAGGGAAGAGGCGCTGGAGTGGCCCAGACCCTCCCTCCTCTTAGTGTCCTTCATGCGTTGAAGTTTCGTTGGGGGCGAAAAACAAGCCCATACGTAAAATCGGCACTAGAACACAATGGAGCCTCTAAGTTTCGAACCATTGTTTCTTGTGCATGTTGTGGATGGACCAGAGTCTCCGATTCTTGCCAGCCACGGCCCGAATGCTCGAAGCCTCCCCCGCGGAAGGCTGGGAGGGGCGGAGTCGGCGGGAAGAAACACAGAGTCAGGACGATGCTGTCATTGTCTGTGCTTTCGTGTGAGGGCAGGTGTCATTGGGTTTGCCAAGGGCATCTCGATGATTTCTGTTGCCCCAGTTTGACGACGAGTCAGGGTTTTTGAGTGACGTTATGATATTGGAGCTTTTTCGGGAGGGTGTATCTCAAATGGACAATTGTGAAATGCCGGCCGGATGGGTGGGCACTCCATGATGGAGGTTCACTGTTGGTTCCCACCAGAGAGGGAGCCAAGAGGGGCCTTCTTGATGTGGGCGGCGAGGTTGACTGAGTGTAACGGGGCAGAGGGGGTCTCCATTGTTCAGGTAGCGGCGGCACCGGCAAATGGGGCCTAGATTCTGTTGGCGGTGATGTTGCCCGATGTCGTACTGCCTGTCGCTCGTCAAATCAGAGGGCTGTAAGATGGAGATGTTGTCACTGCAAAATCGGCCGAACCTTCTGTCACCTCGGGAATGTTGACGCCAGTCCCCATCTCCGGTGTCTAGGTAGGTATGCAGGGGCAAGTGGGATGGGATGGGATGGGATGGGATGTGATCCAGAGAAGGCCCGGCCTGGAAGGATGCAGACAACAATGCAACTTCCTGGACAACCTTGATTTGATTTGCACTTTCCCACTCTATTTGCATGCCCATTCCTCATCGCTAATATTTGCTTATTCCTCGGCAGCCGCCAATCAGACTCTCTCGATTTCACCCTTTCAGAACCCATTCACGCGGGTAATGTTCCCTTTCCCCCTCCAACTCCACGCCGGTATGCACAAATCGTACGAAGAAATCAGCGACCAGGCTCATCTGGATCACGGATTCACCGTTGGGGCTAGTTCACCGCCACCAGAAGCCCTATATCCCAGCACACCGGCCGGCCTATCGGAATTTGATTTCGGCCGCAGGTGGCTTGACTGAACCCCGACCACTAGCTCCACGCCTAGAGCTGTCACCCTCGTGGAATGTCTCTACGACCTGGCCCTGCAGAAGGGCAGAGGCAAGGAGGCTAACGACGGTCATCCAAAACACAGTTGCACTCAAAGTGGCTGGAACAGCCAATGACCTGCATGAACAGCGGTCGATCTCAACCGCCCGCCGACTGACACCCATCGTGAAGCACGAAATCCCATCATGCTTCCTTCTTCCTCGACACCTCACTCCACAGACACTTGGCTTCCCCTAGATCCCCCGACATCGAAAGTCGTTGTTGCATTGCAGCTGCATCTGGCGCCCCTCCAATCCGCCGCGGCGGAGACGCCACTTCAACATGCCACTCGCATGCCCCCTTGGCTTGGGCTTGAGGTAATCGCGACCTCCGAGTGCTTCCCAATCCTGAGAAGGTCTGGAGCTGCCTGCCGCTTCTGTTCTCGCCCAAACCACTTGGTCCTGTGCCAAAGCTCTGAGACATCCCACTGAGAATGGTTTGGGCTCTCGATAGACATCAAGTCCGCCATGGAGAATCTTCCGCAACCAATTAGGTCCAGTGGATCACGATACACCAGCAATGCAGAGACGATGGGTTCTCAGACGATGACTCCTGCAAGACTAATGCACCGCACAGACATGCTATTATCACGTTGCCCTCACTGACCCTAACCCAGCAAACCTCTCTGATTCGAGCCACTTTTCGCCGTTCATTGGACATCTCTCTGGAAGATGCCGTGAAGAAGTCTAGCCTTCGTCTCTGGCCCGGCAAAATGCACAGATGACCACCTTCTCCGTCTGCTGACGGATTACCGACTCCATGGAACTTTGTCAGTGGCTTCTGCGCCGCTCGCAGGTTATGCAGCCCGCTCAGTTGGGAAGCTTGCGGCCATTGACACCCAACTAACACCGGCACATCCGTTGAGGTATCATTGCGTCGCTTCTGCAAATTCTGCCCTTTCAAACTGGGGACAAAGCCCGTGACATGACGATCCTGGCAACTCGGCTGGCTCAATGCTTGGCATCAGCCATTGAGTTTAGCTGAGAGAAAGAGCCCGCTCGCTTGGCACTTGGAGACAATCGCTACAGGCGCCATCCATCTTTCCTGAGGACCAGTCATGGAGAGGCAGTTCCCAATCCAATCCCTCCAGATCGGTCCCGAGGGGCCGTAGCTTCCGACCCAGCAACTGCCAGTGTGGCCTTCTGTGGGCAACTCGTCGTGGCGACGGAAGTTCTTCCCAAACGATCTGCCTTCTTAGTGTTTTGCTGCTCAAATCAGCATCATGTCGACAAGCTGACGAGAGGACTAATTTCTCATCCTGCCTCCTCCAACAACGCCAAGTATCAATACATACGTATTCTTAATTCAAACCCTATTGAACTCACTTTATCACCTCCCGAATAGGATTCTCCTCCGCGAGGATACGAAGTCGCTTTAATCTACGCGTATTTAAAGTTTCAACTGATCCGACGAACGCTACCCACTCTGGAGCCGTCTGTCAAGCTATAACACCTAGACCCTTGAGACCCCTGAACCCAATTCGACTTGCTTATTCGACCGAAGATGGCGAGCCAAAACGCCCTCGAGAAAGAGTCGGCACCGGCCGGAAAGGCAGTCTATGACCCGGACTTCACTGCCCGTGTTATTGCCGCTACGGGGCCGAACGCCAATCCCCGTCTGGCCCAGATTATGCCGAGCCTGCTGCGACATCTCCATGACTTCGCAAGAGAAGTCGACTTGACAGTCGGTGAATGGATGGCTGGCGTGCAACTTGTTCGTCTGCCGTCTGCTTTGTTCTTGTCAACTCAACAGAAGAATGTTGAACCCTCGTCTACTAACATGTCGTCACCGTTTAGATCAACGAGGCAGGCCAAATGTCTAACGACGCCCGTAACGAGACCCAACTTGTCTGCGATATCCTCGGTCTCGAATCCCTCGTCGACGAAATAACCTCCACACAGCTCCAGCTCCAAACAACATCCTCTCTCGCAGCAAACCCGACGTCATCCGCTATCCTGGGCCCCTTCTACCGCCACGACGCCCCTATCCTCCCCAACGGCAGCTCCATCGTCTCCTCCCTCGACTCCCCAGACTACCAGAAAGCCTCGACCCACCTATACGGCCGCGTCCTCGACCAGAGCGGCAGCCCGGTCCCCGGCGCCATCGTCGACCTCTGGCACACCGCCCCGAACGGCATGTACGAGCAACAGGACGCGGACCAGCCGGACATGGACCTTCGCGGCCGATTCAAGACCGACGAGGAGGGGAGATACTCGCTGTACTGCCTGCGGCCCGTGCCGTACCCCGTCCCCGACGACGGGCCCGGCGGCAAGATCCTGAAGCTGCTCGACAGACACCCCTACCGCCCCGCACACATACATTTTATCGTCTCAGCGGACGGGCACAGGCCGCTGACGACGCAGCTGTTCGACAGCGAGGACAAGTTCCTCGAGAACGACACAGTTTTCGCGGTCAAGAAGGATCTGGTGGTGGAGTACAAACCAAGCGAGTCGGATCCCAGGGCTGCCTGGGTTTTGGAGTACGACTTTGTCTTGCCGCGTGCGTGAAGCCCTCTCTCTACGGATACATGGGGTAAATCACCTAGTTAGCAGACTAAAACGCTTTTACGAAGACATGAATGACAAGACACACTTGCAAACATTATGCACACTGTACTGTCTGCTTTTGGATGTTTCATTCCTTTGAATTTGAATTTTTGTGCTTTTTTGGTATCCCATGCCCCGTATCTTGTTGCTTGGCATAATCCTTTCCTTCCATTTTGTCTCACCGTAACTCCGTACCAATGATCATTACCCATGGAGCAAGCCCGGAGGTCTTCCAATACCGATACATGGTGTACATACACACGACACAGCGGCTTCGCAAACCTCCTCTCCTACCGCGCAAGCTTGCCTGCCCTCATACAGTCAAACACACGATCCACCAACACTGGGTATATCTATCTCGCCGCGCCAGCGCACTTTCCATTCTCCTCCAGTCGGCTTTTGTCATCTTCGTCTGCTCGATCCCTCGCCCAAATGGTACTACGAATGTTCCGCAAGGGTGTACATCGGCACGTTCAAAGGAGCCACATAACCCCCCGTACCAGCAGGAGCACCCCCTCCTCCACCTGCGTTCCCATTAGGCCCGAAGTTTCCGAACCCCTGGAATCGCGGACCCGGGCCTTGCACCGGGAAACCTTGCCCGGGCACCGGCATCACCCCGCCCGTCTGCGGCGGCGCAGGTACATTTGGTCCCGCCGGCATGGGCCCGCCCGCAGGAGGACCCGGGGTGGCGCCGAAGGCCCACATCGAGTCAAAGGGAACCTCTTCGTCGCCCATGTCGGAATCTCCCATCCTCGCGCTCAGGTCGCCGCCCGAGTGCGACATGCCGGGCGTGCTACCCGCCGGGGAGACGCCGGCAGAAGGGCCGGCCGGGGCGGAGGAGAAGCTGTGCTCAGTCCTCATGGACAACGGCGGAGGCGCCATCGCCTTTACCGCGGACCCGGGCGGCGCGGAGGTGGCGGTTGTCGCGAAGGAGTTCTTGCGGGAGGGGGCGGTGCGTTTGAAGAGGCTGCCGATCGGGTCGTGGAGGGCCGTCGGGGACATTGTTTGCGGGATAGGCATGGCTGGCTGCTCGGGCTTCTTTGAGCGCAATTCGTAAATAACGTTGCGAAACGAGTTGAGAATGAAGAGAAGCCTATTGGCCTGCGGGTCGCTCGTCGCGCAGTAGTTCATGATAGAAATTGTGCTGGACATGGAGGTTCCGTAGGTCGGGTTCGGGTATATGGCGGAGAACTCGTTACTGAGGACGATAAGGGACGCGGCGAAGAGAAAGTACCTTGAAGTAATGTAAGTGGCATGTCTTGAGAATATTTCTTTTTCGGGGGAGAGCTTACAGGACAAACGGGTTGCGCTGCGGAAGATAGTTGCTGTCGAATGCCTTCTGCACCAGGGCGATTGTCTCATTGGCCGCGCTGAGGCAAGCCTCGCAGTATTTCGACGTGCGGTTGATCCAGCGAGGAACCGGCAGCGTAAACCCTTTGCGCTCATTGTGAACCTTGCTCAGGAGATAAATAAAGAACGGCCGTGTGAGGATGATGATGGTGTGGTAGTAAAAAAGGTTGACGTGAAGGGCGGCGATGGCCTGCGCTGGGTTGCTTGGATCGGCGGCCACCTGCCCCGACGACAGGTCGTCGCTGAGTGATGCGTGCCAGGCTCCGCATTGCTCCCAAATCTCAGACGTCCTGCGAATTGATACGAGCCGGCGGGCGTAGATCTTTTTCAAGATCTGGCCAACAATTTGACAGCATTTTACAGCGGCGTCGAGCCCGTCGCTGGGGTTCTGAATCCGTACCAATTCACTGGCAGACTTCTTCTCAAATACAAGCAGAGCGTCGGCCGAGCATTCTTCCTCGTCAATCGCGACTGGACGGCCCAGCGAAGCGGCGAGGAAACGGTCGAGGACGAACAAGCTTCTCCAGAGGCTTCGGCGCAACCTGACGTCTTCGCTTTTGAAGATGAAATGGTTTTCATGGACTCTGTGCAAGCCGAGTGCGAAGCCAGAGCGAACTGCCATGCCTTTGGGACGGTGTTAGACATGGTGTGCAGGGGAGGGGTTGAGCTAAGACTTACCGAAATAGGCATACGCCGCATTGCGCTTGGATACTGCCAGCATGTAGACAGCCATCAACAACAACGCTTGCACAGACCAGAAATCCGCATCTTCGAACCCAGAGATGGGGTCGCCGAGGGCTTTCGCACTCCTAAAGAAAGACTCGGCTCGATCAAACTGGGCCGTTCTGAGCTTCTTGAAGATGGCATCCTCTTTGCTGTTAGGAAGCGGCGTCGCGAACACCATGCCGATGGCAAAGGTCAGGTACAACAGACATAGGAAGGATGACTGTGCCGTAAGAGGATCCGAGTAACACGCCTCCAGTGATCTTTCGAAAGTGGGCCTGTCGAAGACTTGAATCAAACCATACGTCTATGGAGGGTTAGCAGGTGTGTTGTACTAGGAATAGACTTTTTTTACGTTTGTAAAAAACGACTCAACCAAAGCATTGGCCGTATCCCTGTCAGGTAAGATGTGCGGTGTCTGTATGTTGGCCGGCATCGCTATCGTGGCCTCCATGATCTTGTGGCGGCTTGGGTCTTCCGTGAATTCGCTAGGACCAGCGCTGGCTTCAACAATCATACGAATGAGTTGAAGGTAAGCCAACGACGCGGAGTCGCCAACGTAGACTATCAGTTTTGTTAGTTTTGCCTTGGTCGCATATCTAAGGGGTCTGTCGTACGTAGTCTTCCTGTCGGATCTTGAAGCATCCTGACAGATTGCGTGAGTGCCGTCTCTTCGTCGGGGCCTGAAGCTGTGCTGTGCCTAGAGCGAATGTCGAAATCCCGATCTCCCCCTGCCGGTTCATGTTCTTGCTCGATGGAGGGTTTTATGTCGAAGCCAACATGCGGCTTGTCCTCATTGGGCAGCGGTTTCGTCTCCCACGGCGTGGCGATCGCTGCGGGACTTTCTGATGCGAATGCAGCATCTTGGACAACTGGCTTGCTTGTGGGGAGCTCTTCAATATTGCGACGTTTCGAAGGCGAAGCTAATTGGTCCGGGGTAGTCTGGTCGGACGTGTGGTTTGGGTTTTGTGTGTATGTACACATCAAATTCCTCTTAGTACACGTCGCACATGGTTTAGAACCGTTGCACTTTTGAGATATTGGTCAGTCATTGAAGCAGGCTGGGTACAAAGTGCGCCATCCAAACCAAGGCAGATGAAGAAAGTGACAGGCTCGAAATCTCCGACCCCTGGAGTCAGTCAACCCCTAGAGAGCGGTGGACGCGAGACCGGCAACATGGAAACCCGCCCGGAGATCGATACTAGGGCTTCTCCATGGGATGAACCAATGACCCCGGTGAAGTCTGCGACCAGATCGTCGGGTTGGCGGCCGAGGTCAGGTCCCAGCCGGGGAATATCCCGGCCAGCTCGACCGGAGAGTGCCCCGTTTAAGGATCCAGCGATATTGCAAGTAATGCCGCGCAGGAAACACTTTCCAAACACATTTCTGGGAGACGCAGCTCTGCCCACCATCCACTTGAGATGGTCCAACCTAGTTGGCAACGTAACATTGATCATCAGGGTGGTAGACTGGGATACATAGACAAGTGCGGTGAAACTGGGTTTGGGTATTGATCGAATTGTGAGACCCCGGGCATCTCAACCTTGATCGGAGGATTTGACGCCTATTTCGGGGCGGAGGGTACCCGGGCTGGAGTGATATCCGGTACCCAAACTAGGCGACGGGTGATGTGCGGACGGATTCCCATTATCGGGAGCTGATATGTGACCGATTTGGAGTCTTGAAGCAACTAGCCCAAGGCCGGGGCGAGGGGATGGTGGGGATCGGAGGGGATGGTATGCAACGCCATCATGAACAACAACCACACTGTGTGTTTATGGCGACAATACGTCTCAGATGACAAGGGGGATGGATAGAAAAGGCGGTAAAGGCAAGGCAGGTAGAGAGAGCTAGGCAAGGGGAGAGGATCGTGACAAAAGTCGAGACCAATTGGATTCCGGCTGAAGTTGATGGTGGCAGACAGGGACGTGGTGTGGAAAACAAAAGTAGGGCTCACCTTCTGCTTCCGGCGCTTACAAGTGTCACAGGCCTGGGCGGTCCGTTGGCGCTTGTCTTCGGGGACCTTTGGACGGGTCATTGTCGAGATCGATGCATCAGCCGAACTTCCATGGACCGACCCTTCTTAGCAATACCCGTTATCCGATGATGCGCGTGATGGTGGGCGGTCGAGTTGGTTTTGGACGAGAAACGGCCGCAGTAAGGCAAGGCGAGTGAGAATGAGTAGGGTGACGGGATGTACCAGACCAGTGAGTAGCCCAATGTGTCGAAAGGCGGAAAGACGCGGCGGGGATTCACAGAACCAAGCTTCCTGCACGGCACGAACTGTGTCGGAGGGGTGGACTGCTAGGAAACGGATAGCAGGCACCAGGTAGGCATGCTTTCCTTCACCCCTTCGCTGCAGCAAGCGAGGAGCCGGAGCCGCGAGGGAGGATCGCGGTTGCGGGTTAGAAGAAACAGGCCGCCGTTGAGGGTTGCGATAACAGAACCTTGGACGGAAAGGCGCAAGGCGGCTCAATTCCAACAAACAAGGCCTGTCCTAATTTCCAAGGCGGAAATCAAACTAGTAAGGATCGGTTCTCTGGGCAAGCTTTTTTGACATGTTCCGACGAGGACGGGACAGGGAAGCAAACAAGCGTCTGGTCTGGTGATGGGCGGCTGCTCGACGAGGTTAGCTGCAAGTGGGGACCTTGAGCGTCGGGTATGGGGTTGGTTACTTTAAAGAGCAACAACACCATACACAATAGAGATGAGATGTGACGTGGGGAGTAGTAGATCTAAGCTTGTGCTTTTGCCTCGCAGCACTGCGGGCGACTGAGAAAGGGATGGGGGCCGCCGTTGCGGCAGCGGATGTCGGCGAAGGCGGGGAACGGGACTCAATGAGAGAGACAAGTAGGGACAGGACGGCGGCGACTGGCGAGGATGAGGAGAGGACAGAGAGAAGAGAGCGGCGAGCCTGGCCGAGTGAGGGAGGGAACGTCGAGACTTTGATCGGATATGGGACTGGCGGCCAGGCCGGGCCAGGCCAGGCACCTTCGATTTGGGCCAACAGAAGACCACCTGCGCCTAACGGGAGCCCGTTCACACATCACTCAAGTCAGGTCAGGTCACTTGTCAGGGACGGGGGGGAATTGGGATGGAGGAGGATTGGAGCCCTCGCCCGCCCGCCTGCTGCCCGCTCACCCGCTCGCTCGCTCTCAGCGAGTACGCAGGCAGGGTGGTCGCCCGAGTCGAGTAGAGTCGGCCGGCGGGCTGTCCCCGAGTCTTGTCCTCGCGCGACAAAAGATGCACAGCGGGGGCCAAGAGAGGGTCGGGGATTCAGACGGGGACAGGGGGGTGTGGCCGAGAGGAGAGTCGGTAGGGCAGGGGCCTTGACTTTGATGGGCGCCCCCCGTTGTCTGGATCTGGGATGGATCAAGTTGGGTTTGGGGAATTCTTGAGGGGCTCAAGTCTAGGGGGCGTGTGGGTGGTAACTCGGGTGCACCAAGACTACTGCAACAGGAGCATCGCTGGTCTTGAGAAAAGAGTGCCAGGCGAGACGAGGCTAGGCCCTTACTTTTCGTTCCAACAGGCAACATGCAGAGCGGTTTTTTTTTCTTACTTCCCGCCATCAACATGACAGAATGAAACAGGCCGAGGAGATGAAGATACCCCGAAGATACGCCCGTATGCACGGCATGGGGGCCCAAAAGGACGGCGGCGACGGCGCTACTGGTTCCTCTGCGCGTATGGACATGAAGAGTGTCATCTCATAGTACATACATGCTGCCCTGCGTACGGCAACGCATGACATGACCCTCTGTCTGTTCGCCGCTCAACACCTTGACATCCTGCTTCAATGTCTCTTGTGTGTGGAGTAGTAATAAGCGAGCGGGAACTCCTCAGTGGAGGCAATCCTCCGTCAACGTCAGCGCGATTGCGACTTCAACTGAGCAGAGGTCGGCGTCGGCGCTTCTGGTCACCGATAGTGTGCTTCATGGGGTGGTTTTGAGGTGGGCATTGCTGCTGCCGCGCTGATGAGATGATGAGAAATTCCCGCTTGGCAAAACGGACGGTTCCTCTGATATGCTGGATGCCACAGATGGAAATCAATTGGACGGGCCTCGTCCTGAAGAAAGCGGTGGCCAAAACCGAGGAGCTGTCAGGACTGCAGCCCACAAGCTGCAGATTAGACGTTGAACGGCTGAACAGACGTGTATGTACCTGTCTTATCGCCGGCGGGAGGAATGTCAGCTAGTGTCAAAGTTCAGGGCCACGAGTCCGCAACCACACCAAACGAGCCGCACGGTCGAAGCTGGTGTTAGCGCAGCGCCTATCTGGGGGCATTGAGGAGTCTGCGTGTCAGGCATACGTTTGTGTGCGAGCGTGTGCGAGCACAATGTGACGAAGCCGCCGCAGTAGACGATGACCAATCTTTCGCTTGAAAAGGCTGCAAGGGTAGGTAAGGTAGCCTTCTCCCCTCGTATCACGCAAATAATGCCACGCACAGCGGAGTTGTTGATGCGGTAGTGTTGCAAGACTTTTCTTGCAGCAAGATTTGCGCAGACAGACGATGCGGTTGTCGTGGAGCTGTGATAATTATTGCAAGCCTCCAAGCCAGTGGCGCCGCTGCTAGCGTTGTATTGAAAAGCAAGAGGACGCGAGACAACACATGGCTTGCTGGCTCCGTCGCCCTATGGCCCTGTAGCTCTTCTGATGCATGCGAGGCACCCGGTGGGCGGGCATCAGACGCAGAAATGCTCGCTGTGTCTTTGGCGGAGGGTGGCCATCCAATGCCTTTGGCTGGACCGTCTGGCTAGACCGGGCTGGCCCCTCGCTGAGCCCGCGGCGATGGTGAGCACGTAGGGCGGGCGAGGCTTGGAGAACAGATGGGAGCTAAGGTGCTGATTGCCACCTGGGGTTAGCAGTGTCTTGGGTCTGGAGGTGGGTGAAGACCATTCGCCATGGATCTGGTCGCGCTCCCGTCTCGATCGAGAGATCCGATGTCGATTGGAATGTCACCGAGAGCACGGCACGGGAGCGATGCTTCTCGAATTGGTCACCATTCCTCCTGGCAGGACACCCGTATGGGCCGTTTGAGATGTTGTCGATTTGTGATTATACTCTCGGTTGTCTTGCGGGAAGTGGCGGTTTGGGCGCGGCCGTTTTTTCTTCTCGATGGGTCGCGATGCTGGATACCGGAACCTACTTGCAAGGAGCGTTTTGAGAAGAAGTCTGATCTGCATGCCCAAAGCTAAATATCGGGAGTCAGTGTCGAATATTGGAGATTGGTGGTGTGGTCGTGAGGAGAAGCTGAGCTGCATCGTACATGATGCAATGCGGTGCGGAGTGAGGTGAAGATGAGGTACGCAGGAGACGGGGGGTAGGTAGTAGACAATGGGTATCTGACTTGTCGATGTTTTTGTTGAGGCGGAAAGGAAGATTCATTGAGGAAAGCGCAAGAAATAATAGAGTATCTGAGTTTCTGCCACAGCCGGCAGACTGATGTGGTAGGTGCAATCCATGGGCTGCTCACCGAGGCACGCTTTCCTCGCTTATCTTGCTCACCTTAAAGTCACCGCATGCATGACCTCTAAGTGAATACTCTCAGATATGAATATATGCATTTAGGTGAGAAGAGGAAAACATTTCTTGTTCCTCTCTGACGACAGCGAAATAATACTCTTTCTCCTTCATGCTGTACCATC